CCCAGAGGCAGGCAAATGCCCCCAGAGGGGTCAGTGAGCACAATTCCAGCCAGGGGCCACTTGCACCAGCTCCAGGCAGTTGACAGGCAGCCAGAGGGTTGCAGAGACCCCTGTGGGCCAAGGAGATGGAGGTGCTCTTCATGGTGTTGATCTTGCATCCTGGGGTATTTCTGGGCCTCAGACCTTCTCCCCAGCCCTCACATTCCTCTCTACCATGGAGCCTCATTTTGTAGGCTGGTTGTATGCATGTTCTAGACACCATCTCACTGGGAAAGGAGGACCGGCCGCTGGCTTCCCAGGCCCTCCCCTCCTCACACGTTCCTCCCCTCATCTCTCTTGTTTCCAAGGGCAGGTCTTGACTCCAGGTCTCAACTTGCATCCTTGGCCTTTCCCCTCCTCCTTCTTCAGACTTGACCAGCAGCAGGTCTGCAGACCACCAGCACCATCCTCTCCTCCCTCCCCCCAGTAGCTTCTGGAACCATGCCCTGTTCTCCTGCCTCCCTGTACAATAATCCAGGACCCGGGCCTGCTCCCTCGATGCCAAGCAGTCTCCACTCATGTGTGCGTTCACACCTCACTTTCCATTTATGGAGGCCACTACTTCTTTCTTTTATACGGACAAAAGTGTATATATATATCAGAATTATATATATGTATAAGGAATCCCTTTCAAGATGATTTTGGAACTGATATCAGGATGAACTAAGATGAAGGAAAAGCCTTTTTCAGAACTCCACCTGTTAGCAAGGAGGGCTGCTATCTAGCCCCCCGGTGGCCCTGACACTCTGGGAGGGCAGGTGGAGGCAGTGACCTCCTCTCACCGCTTTTCCCCCTCTTCCGGCTGACCTGTGATTACACTGCTCTTACAGTTGATGCTTTGGAATAAAGAGACAGTGTGTGTGTATGCCACCCTATCTGTCCCATGGGCATCCTGGGGTGTGAGTGGGACGGACCGTGGCCCTGTTTATATTTTGGTCTTAATGTTGGTGCTGCCAAGTCTCTGAGCTACAGAGGTGGCCTCGTGTACAGATCTACCGCTACAGGAATAAAAGACACTCTGCCTTGCAAACAGCCACTTGTCAACAAGCCCAAAGATGTCTGGTGGGGGAAGGTTATGGAAGTCAGTAATTCCTGGTCTTGGAAAAAAAATGGAATAAGAAGTGGCTGATTGTTTTTTAAGGTGATATTTCTTTCACTCTTTTAGTGACTCACAAAGGCTCACTAAGGACATGCTTGGGAAGGATAGACAGATCTGCCACGTGATGATCACAGACTAGAATCCTGTACACCCTCATTCCTCAGACTGACAAGTGGTGGGGTGATGGGAACCTCAGTGTAGCTTTGATGAGCAAATCCTTTATATTTTTAAAATAGATTAGTCTGGGCAGCACTCTGACCTCAGTGGTAACATATTTAGTTAGTTGGAAGGTTGGCTTATCTTGTTAAGTACCTAACATTTACAAGCACGCTCCCATTTGACGCAGGGGATGTATGAGTCTGTGGAAACATGTAGTGATTTAAATCCAGGTTATTTCATTTGGATCAGCTGAAGTGTATTTTACACCTGGACCACCTGGCCCTTTCGTTTTGCTGGGGGGAAGTACATGTTCATTTAAATGAAATAGAAAGAGCAATGTAATGTAAAAGAGCTCTCTGTACTCTCTCTGGGCTGGCTCCAAGGTCTCTGATTTTTGGGGTCAGTTTCCCACCCTCCATCTCATGAGGGTGGGTGAGTGACAGCAGAGAAGCAAGCTTCTGTCTGCTGCAGACAGATAGGCTTCCCTGAGCACTAGTGATGTTTCCCATCAGTAAAAAAATCTTTAGTTCACTTTCTCAATTGTATAATTATTTATTGTAAATTATATACATGTACTACTGTACTAAAATATTATGTACATTATAAAACATACACAAAAATAGAAATTTAAAAAGATGAGATGAAAATAAATCTAAATCAAAGTTCTAATTTTTTTCCTGCATTCTAATGGACCATTACATTCCCCCACAACCTCTGCCCCTAATATGCCCATTTTCCAGGACTGTCCAAATCCAGAGGCTGGAGGCCCACAGGCAAGATGCAGTAAGTGGTTTGCGCCACCTGGTGGTCCTGGGAAGTGGCTGCGGACTCAGGGACTTCTGGGGACTGACCCTTGATCACAGCCTTTCTTTGAGCCTTCATTTTCTCATTCAGAGAAGGTCAACAGTGCTGCACACTGTGCTAGGTGCTGAGGATACTGTGGTGAGAAGAGGATTGAGCTGCTCCCTGTCCACGTGGGGCTCACAGTCTAGTGGGGAGGGGGACAGGCTGTCACCATTACCATTTGGGACCCTGGGAGTGCTGGGGAGAAAGCCAAAACTGACCTGGCAAAGAGAAGAAGACTGGACAAGTGGAGAAGAAGACCAACTCAGGAAGCCGCCTGAATGTCCTAAGTGCTCGTGGGGGACAGGGTGGTAGCAGGGAAGCCACTTAACAGGGCTAAACCTCTTCCTGATGGCCACTAAAGATGCCCTAAGGCATCGATTTGGGAAGCACAGAGGAAAAAGAGCCTCTCTGGCCCTACCTGCTCCCAGGTCCCATTCACACTTGTGAAATGAATGGGTGACAAATTAGATGAAGTTCTGGCCTTAGACTCTTAGTAGGTATTTTGGAATCCAGAGCAGGTAACAAAGCTACCAAATTACTTGATACAACTACTTGGGGTCATGAGAAGGCCAAAGGGTTCACCAAGAGGTCATTCACAATTAGTGGGGTTCACAAAGAGGTCAGTGGGTTCTCTGGAGTCATAGAAGTGGTTTCTGACTGAAAATTTAGAAGGTAACAGCAATTCAGAGCCCTCAGAAGGGTCATATTGACACTGAGGGCTCCTGAAAAGGCCAATAGGTTCATCAAGAGGTCATTCACAACTATTGGGGTTCACACAGAGGTCACAAATCACATAGAGGAATTATTGGCTGCCAGAAAAATTTAAAGCCAACAGCAAACTCAGAGCATGCAAAGGGATTTAAATGAGATCATCAGATGGGCCCTGGGAGAGGTGATTTGCAGGTTTATGTTTATTTTCCTTTGTTTTTTAATAACAGGTACTTCCCCCCCCCCCCAGGACCCCCACAATGAACACCATGACTTTAGTTCCTTCTTTACTTTTCCCCATCACCTCCCTTCATCCAGTTTTTGCCACTCTGCGTGATTCAAGAATGCAAGGCACAGGATACCAACATCATCATCAAATTAGCCAATAGGCATCATATGCCAGGAGCAATACTGGGTGCTTTATATATAATCTCCACAGTAACCCTTTGAGGTAGGTATCAGTATCACCCTCTAACAACTGAGGAAACAGCAGCCTAGAGAAGTCACATAGCCCGGGAGGGGCAGAGCTAGAATTTGAACTCAGCCCCTCTCAACCTTAATTAAGCCTCTCTGTCCCTCACATTTGTAGGTCTCCAAACTGACCACACACGTTCTGGGGGCAATCACGCATGTGTGCACACATGGCAATCACCTAGGCTCTTTGGATAGACGGCTCCCTTAGGTCTGGCTGGAACATAAGGGTTCCTGGCACTGGTTTAATAAATTAGTCAACGAAGGAAAAGGCTTCTTCACCCTGGATGGCCATCTGCCTTCTCCATGCCTTCCTCAGAGACTGCAGGTATAGACAGGCCCTGGCTCTGAGAGGGGCTATAAAGTTGGGAAAAGCACAACACCCTGTGGGCTTACAAGCTGCAGCAGCTGTGGTCTTCCTGGCAGCCAAGGGTACCCATTATGCCACCCTGCATGTCCAGGCTTTGCCTGTGACATGTTTGAGGCCCCAAGGGTCATCTTGCCTCAGCTGCCCCAGTGCCAACCCCACAACCCTTCCCTCCTCACCCACATAGGCCCGGAAACTGTTGCCTCAGTCCAGCCCAAAGAGCTGCAGGGCAGGAAGTGGGCCAGGGTTCTGAGGCTGAGCTCAAAGCAGAGTAATCTGCATCAGCCCCTTGGCCAGGTTCCCCTGAAGCCAGGGGGGATACCTGGTGAATAATCTTCGAGGAGGGTTGGAGCCTGTCCTGGGAGCTGAAGCCAGGGAGATGAGAGGGAAGGTCTCTCCCTCCCAGGGCATAGCCTGGCCCTCTCCGGTCTCCGCACCAACATCCATCCATCTCCACCCAGGTCCTCATTCTGTCTTCTCTCCTTACCTGGGGCTAGGCACACACAGTCAAACATGAGTTATTTCTGATTTTATTTATAATATAAAAATGTTCAAGTGTCAACAGTCAGGTGTTTGGACATTTCAGGGCAGGGTTCTTTGTCTGTTTGTTTAAACAATTACCTTTTTCGACAAATTAGCAGTGGACCCAGTTTTGCGGGGTGGGGAGGGAGTGGAATTCATAGGTGACTTGGGGTCTGGAAGGAAATGGTGTTACTTTATTGCTAAAAGGGGAATCAAATACACTGTGGAGTGGCTCTTCTCGGTCCCAGTGTGACCATGCATCCAATCTAAAGAATCTGAAATGCAAAGGACATGCAGGCATAAAATAGAAAAGACAACCTGTAAACGAAGGTGCTGCAGAGGACGGAAGGGCATCCTGGAGGCCACAGGGGAGGAGGAGCTGGAACTTTGGGGCCCTGGCAGAGCTGCCCCCTCCCTGGGGCCGGCGCTGTTGGGAAGACCTCTTTCTCAGTGCCCCCTCCCTTAGCAGCTGTGAGGAGCGGGGAGGCCCCCCTCCCCATTCTGGTTGCTGTCGCTGGGCCTCAAGTCTCCTCCTGAAAGTTACCTGACCTCAACTCTAGCTCCAAGCCTAGGATCCCTGCCTTCTCCTCAGGGTGTCTGGGGCTGAAGACCTCGCCTGGGGGCAAAGCTACTGCTGTCCTCATTTCCTTCCTCGGGGCCAAGGCTCTTCCAGCCCCCACCCTTGCCCCCACTAGCACCCAGCAGCCTTTTCTTTGCAGGCTTCCTCCCACGCCTGCCAGCTGGGGATCCTACGTTCCCCTCACCCCCACCCCACAACCCAGACTTCTCTCCAGGAGCTCCAGATTAGCGTACAGCAAAAGGCACCACAATATAGGTTTCTATTAAAGAGTCAAAAAATTGGCCCATCTCTCTTTTTTTTTGTTGTTTCTTTTTTTTTTCCGAAGCTGTAAATCAGGATGTTACATATAAAGTTTCCCTATAAAAACGTCTTTGCCGTTAGCTAGTATTATAAGACAATTTTTGCTAAAATGAAAATAAAACATTTTGTTATACCTTTTTCCTTTTATAGAAAATAAAAATATTTTTATTTCTTTTTTTCCTCCTTTCTCTCTCCAGGCGGTGGTCTCTGTTCTCCTTAAAGACAGTGGGGCAGGCGAGGCGGAGGGGGGCGGCTGGGGCCCCTAGAGGGGCGCAGAGTCCTGCTTGCCCCGCGGGGGCGGCCCGCGGCTGTGTCTGCTGCTGGCCCGCGTGCTGTGGCTGTCCAGGGAGTAGTAAGTCCTGCTGTCGGCCGCCGGACACAGCGGCGGCGAGTCCGAGCGCAGCGCATCGTGCGCCGCGCGCAGGCCGAGGAAAGGCGTGCTCTCTGCCGCCAGCGCCCCGTCCGCGTCGTCGTCCGAGCCTGAGGCCGAGCCGCCACCAGAGCCGCTGCTCAGCGACAGCGAGTCCCGCGCCGCGCGTGCGCGCTGCGCCGCCAGACCGTTGAGGCGCGAGCGGCGCCAGCGCCGGGGCCCCGCCGACGTCCTGCGGGACGCGCCGCGAGCGCGCGGCCGCGGCGGGGGCGGGGGCGCGCACTCCTGCGTGGTCTCGTACTCGTCGTCCTCTGGGATGCGGAAGGGGCTGGCGGGCAGGCTGCCCAGGCTGCCGCCCAGCGCGCAGGCCCCGCGCCGCGGCCCGGGCCCCGCCGCGGGGTAGTAGTAGCTGTCGTAGCTGCGCTGCATGTCCGCGCCGGGCCCCGGCCCGGGGCCAGGGGGCGCCGGCTGCCGCAGAAGCGGCTGCTGCTCCGCCAGGCGGTAGCTGATGGGTGCGGCCGGCGGCAGCGACACTGCGTGCGCGGAGTTGGGAGACGTGATCTCAAAAGTCGGCACCTGCGTGGCCAGCGAGTAGTGGAAGTCCACTGGAGAAAGGCGCGCGGGCGTGGTCAGTGCTGACACGTACCTGCGGGGAGATGCAGAGGCGTGGGCCGGGGGTTACGGGGTTGCGGGTTGCGGTGGAAGGGGTGGGCCGCGACCGAAAGCACTGGCAGTGCCTGGGATCCCGCCCGCCCGAATGATAGTGTCAATCCTCAGTGACCGTAAGCAATTTCCTTAACCTACCCCAGGCTCGGTTTCCTTATGCTTTAAGAGGGGCTAACCACAGTGCGCATTCCAGGCCTTTGGTGGAATGATTCCATAAATGTATCACATGGGATGTGCCACTGCCTGCCCGATGCTCCTCTATGAATGGTCCTTTTGGTGTGAGGGATGCGCACAGTCACCAATATTCTTGAAATGTTACTTTGGGTCAGGCTCAGGCTGGGGCATTTTACATGCACCATTTCGTCTAATCAGTAATTCTGTAAGACCCTTACCTTAGTCCCGTACCACACATGAGAAAAATGAGACTCAGAACATTTTAGTGACTTGCTCGAGGTTCACACAACGGGGAAGTGGTAGGGCTGCGATGTGAACCGATGCCAGGCAGGAACCAGGACTTAACACTTCCCTGCCCTCCAGAGTCCTCATTACTCTCTGAATCGTCTGACTTCCCTCTCCCACATGGACAGCCAATTAACCGCCCTACCCCATCTTCTGGAACACCCCCTTTGCCCTGCTCTACCACATCCTGGGCCTAGTTGTTCACTCTGGTTATTCCCCCACTCCAGGGTCTCTCCTCCACTGTGCAGTTTCCAAAGCAATCTTTTAAAGTCAGTTTTGCTTAAGGAGGCCCTTCCTGCTTACCCATCCAGGGCCCACATCCTAAGCAGACCCCAGGGCCATCAGCTATCTCTGTGGCCCCAGCCTACCTGTTCAGGCCCAGCTCCATTCTCCCAGCATCTCACCCTGCTCTGGGCATCTCACTCACTAGCCATGTTCTTAAGTGCCTCTGCTAGTAGACTTCAGGGTCCTCCCTTGCCTGGAAAGCTCTCCCTGTCTCTCTGCCTCCCAACCATCAAGAAGTCCTATTGCTTTGGTAACAACAGCTACACCTAGTGTAGCTAGGTAGGAGGCAGAGAGCTTTGTGCACGTGATCTCTGATGGCCTTCACAAGACCCATGTATGATAGGTATTGTTTTTCATGATCCACAGCTGAGGAAACAAGGCACAGGGATGATCAACCTGCTTTAAATCACACAGGTGGTGGAGTTGGGCTTTGAACGGTTGGGTTTGGAAAACCTGGCTGCTTCCTAGAGCCTGCAGTTCGACTGGGTCTATCTGTCCTGGTGGGATGGCCTGTGCTTAGTGCGTTCCATAGCTGTGAGCTTCAGTGGTTTGTGTCCATGGCTGGGAGCTTCTCAGGAGCAAAAACGAGGTGGACCATCTCTGAATGCCCAGGCAGGCCTGCTCAGTGAGGGCTGGCATGGAGTAGGTGAAGTAAGAGCTGGAGAGCATTTCAGTTCAGCCTGGAGTTCCCAATACTGTGCACCTTTTCTCCTCCCACAGATCCCTCTTGCTAAGGGACACTGGAGGGCTGAGTAAGGTAGAGGGCTGGCCTCCTAGGACTCCTGGCTTGGAGTCAGGGAAGAAGGGGAGTTTCCTGGTTCTCACTGCATCCATTGCTCGGAAACCCGATGGTGTCTGGATCCCCGGACCTTGTTGCTGATACTGCCAGGGCCTGCAGTCCTTGGCTCAGGCCCAGCCTGCACTGGTCATTCTCTTTGCAGACAGCCTCCCCTCCCACCCTTCAGTCTGCTCCATCTTGGTGTCTTTCTGTTCCCACTGGGACATGGAGCCTCTGGGTGACACCAGGGTCAGGCTACCATATGTTCTGGCATGTCCAGAACAGCCCCTGTTTGTTCCTGATGTTCTAGTGCAACTATAACATCCCCTTCTACTTTGAAAAGTGTCCTAGTAGGAAAATTAAATTAGATGGTCACTCCACACCAGGGTGCACTGGCCCAGACTTGGTCCCAGTCTGTCATTAACACGCTGATGACCCTGAGCAGATCATTCCACCTTTCAGGGACCTTGCTTGCCCATCTGAAAAAGGGACATGAGAATCTTTGGAGTGTCTCTGAGGTCCCCTAAGGGTCAGCCCTGGGTCAATGGGGCCAGTCTCTGGCCAAGGTGGGGCACAGGTCATGAGATAGGAACTGACCTCTCGCTGTGTGGGGAGTCGCGCAGGGAGTCAATGGAGTCATGGTAAGGTGGCACGGCAGCCCTGCGCCGCTCCTCCAGGCTGTAGGCTGCTGCCCGCCGTGCCCGGGCCTCCACACACGCTGGGCTGTTGCATTTGCTGGTGCCCACTGATGACAGCATGATGCCCGACTGGGAGTCAGAGGTCAGGCTTTCAGAACGTTCCAGGCTCCACGTGTGGCTCTCATGCCTGGAGAAGCCAGGTGGAGGTGAGGTGAGGGATCAGGAAGGGGCAGAACAGCCTAGCAGGTGTGCTCCCAGGTCCACCCCCTTCCTGGTTCTTTGCTTCACTTCAGGCGCCCTCAGCTCACTGCCCTTCTCCACTCTGAGCTGACATGTAGTATGATGTAGGGAAAAGGAGGGCTAGGGTCCTGTAGATGGGTGCACCCGAACATGTGTAAGCCTTTTCTTTTCCTCTGTGCAACCAACCTCCCCCTACCCTCAACCCGGGGGGCTCGTGTCTGGGACCCTTCCATTCCCATGATCCCTAGCCACTTATGTCAGGAGCACAGCCCCAGTGGCCAATACATGTGGGCCTGGCCTATTCCATGCTGCTCCCCAGGGAAGAAGGAGCATGTTGTGAGCTGTATGAACCTTTGTGCTTGGGTGGACAAAGAAAAGGAAGTGAAGGTAGACTAGGTTCATAAGGGCAGACTCAGGAGAGGGCATCTAATAGGTCTGAGTGTTTGAATGAGGAGGGATTTTTATGCCAGATCATTCGGTGCTAATAAGGTCCAACCCAAACCACGTGTTAGGTGGGAGCACAGTGATACTGTTATTCCTCTGGGGTTGGTTTATACTGGAAAAGGGACTCTGGTCCCCTGAGGATGGATGAATGTTTGGTGGTGTGTTCTGGTCTGAAGTCCTCCACCTTTACTGTCTGACTCAAAAGGACCCTCAGTCCAGGGCCTAGCCTGGCAGGGGGGTTTCTTTGTGTCTTCTGGCAGATGTGTGCGTGCTTTCTGTGGGCGTGCATATAGGACTCTGCAAATCTCTGTGGGCCTCGGAGGTACCCACCTGTGGCTGGAGGTGGGTGTGGCTGTGGAACAGTGGTGAGAAGGAGAACAGGAGTGGCTCCCAGAGAAGGTGGTTTCCGTTTCCCTCCGGATGACGTGGTCTGTGGCTGGCACATTCTTGGAGATATACTGCAACAGACACAGTTGGGCGGGAGTTAGTGATGAGTGACTGATGAGCCCTCCTTCCGGGCACGGATGGGGAAGTGAAGCACTAAGCTTCAGGTTGGGGAGTGGTCCACTGGATAAGTGGCATGATGTTAGGGCAGCGGTGGCCCCAGCAGATCCACCCCTTAAGGAAGTGGGCAAAGCGAGGCCAGTCTGGTGAGGCTAGGCTAGGCTAGTGGGCAAGGCTGAGCACTGGATGGGCTGGCTTCTGCCCTGGTCCTTCCTTGCAGGGCACATGACAAAGGCTGGCTGTACAGAGAGGGGGTTCTGGTAACACCACTCACATCTGCCATCTGGATCTCCTCAGGGTCCAGCCGGGGATGGCTGGGTCCGTTGGCCAAGCTCCGATTCTGGTGGGCTGGGCACATGTTCTGCCGGAGGTGATTGTGCATCTGCTTCCGCTGTTTTCTGCACAGGAGAAGGGTGTGTTAGCTGGGCACTCCCTCCATACAATGTATGAAATTTCCCAGCTGCCCCTCCAGGGGAACTATTCTACCTCTGCCCTGGATGCCGGGGCAGCCTCCTGCTACCTCTCTACCCTGTGTCAGGCTGCTCTCAGCCAGGACCCCGCCGATCTGCCTCCTCCCATCACCACCAGCTTGAATTTAGCAGGACCTGAGCAGAGTGGTCCTGAGCCTTGGCTCTGCTGAGAGAGTAGAACTCTACCACATCCTCACTGTGTAATCGTGGGCCAGTTACTTAAACTCTCCATGTTTCACTTTCCTCATTGTAAAGTGGGGTGGCCATTTACCCATTCCAAAGTCTCCTCAGAATTAAGAGCAGATAAAATATTCTGGCACCAGCCCACCTACCCACCGATTGACTGATTCATTCATTCATTCATCTGCTCTTTCTTGGGTTTTTGCTATGTGCCAGATGCTGTTTTGGAAGAGTGAAGGGGACAGACAGAATCTCTACCCTCGTGGGGCTGGCAAGCCAGTAGGGGAGGCAGATAATAAACACATAAACAAGATACTTTCAGTAAAGAGCAATGAGAAAAATAAAACATGGTGCTATGGTCACAGGCCTGTGGGACTACTTTACATTGGCCATATCAAGTGCCCAGCACATTTGTTCTGTAATCAACAAGTCTAATCATGTCATTCCCACTTAAGACCCTTCACTGGGGGGCACCTGGGTGGCTTAGTTGGTTAAGCGTCTGATTTTGGCTCGGATCACGATCTCATAGTTCATGACTTTGAATCCCGCATTGTCATCTCTCTGCTGTCAGCACAAAGTCTGCTTCAGATCCTGTGTCCCCTTCTCTCCCTGCACCCCCCCCCCCACTCCCTGGCCCCTGCTCATGCTCTCTCTCTCAAAAATAAACATTAAAAAAACAAGAAAAAAACAACAAAACCCTTCACTGGCCCTCCCTCACTGCCCTCTCACTGCCCTAGCTTGCTGTATCGTTGAGGGGCTTATTTCTGACCCTCCACCGTGCTCCCCTCTCTACTCGTTGGGCCTCTGCACGTACTGTTACATCCCACTGGAGCACACTCTCTACCTCTTCCTCACCTGCTAACTCCTGCTCTTCTCTTAGACTCAGCCTAAATGCTTCCTCAGGGAAACTCTTCTTGCCCTCCTGCCAAAGTTAGGCACCTCTGAAGTGTATCTTATCACCCTGGACATCTTGCTTAGAGCACTGGCCATGTGCCTGGTGCAGGGCTTGGTATCTAGCAGGCAGTGAATGAAAGTTTCTTGAAGAAATGAGGTTAGAATAGGGAGTTGCTCTTCCGCTAGTTCTTGACCCCATTTTTCGTACTTGGGCCTAGTCTCCTCTGGGCTCCTTGAGCCCCAAATCCCAAGGCTAGCAGGGCCTTAGATCCCATAGATAGGTGTGGCAGGAGTCAAGACCAAGGGACTCAGTACCCTAAATGGTGGCTATGCCCAGACCTTGCTTTCTGGATAAAATGGATGGGACAAACCTATCATTTTCTCTGCACTCCATCACTCTACAAACTTCATTGGCTCCCTCTCATTTACTGAATAAACCCGGGCTTCCTAGCTTGGGATTCAATGCCCTATGCTACTTTCTAGGTTCTAGCTGTCTTTTTATACTCATGCCTTTTTCTTGACCCCAGACTTACTCCACCTACTCTGGAATGCTCATGCTCTAGGAACACAGCTGACCCTTTCCCACAGTTGTCTGTCAGTGTGCACTCTTCTATAGGAACTGCCAGCACTCCTTCTGCACCTTTCTTTCCCTTGCTCCAAAGTTCTACCCCATCTTTCCTCTGCCCAGAAGGGACCCAGCCCCATCTTTTCTGTGCTGTGGCCTAGCTGGCGCCCAAGTGAGACAAGGCAGTCCCTCATGAGGTCTCTTTTCCCACTGGGAATGTAGCCTTCCTTTCTGTGCTTCCTCACTCCCAACACTGCTCCAGCGCCAGCCTGATTGACAGGGCTGATGCCCCTCACAGTGTCCTCTGAGGTCTGTGTTACGATCCTTCCTGCTTTAAGGATGAGGACTCAGAGAGGCCAGTCAGTTTACTCAGGGTCATGGTAAATGGAAGAGCTGGATTCAAACCCAGATCTGTTTTCTTCCAACATTTGTGCTCACAACAGTTCTTGTTCAGTCCTCTGGGGCCTGTCTCCTCTACCCTCTACTCCTGCTTCTTGGCCCAGCCCTTCCTCCCCACACCAGCAGCAGCAGCGGCCCCTGAAGGGGCTGTGGGGGCATAAGGGGGTGGCCAGCCAGACCTGGGGAAGGAGTGTATGTGTGAGCAAGAGACACTGTCTTCACAAAAGCAGCCCAAGAGGCCCCTTCTTAGTTGGCCTACTGCAGGCCTGAGTGTCTGACACTCACTTGGTCTTGCAGTAGGCGACCACACAGACAATGCCCACGACCAGCAGAGCCACGCAGATGCCGGTGATGGTCAGGACTCTCTTCTGGTACAGCTCCTCGGCTTCTGCAGAGGCAGAAGAAGAGGATGTGAGGGGGCAGGGCAGGAGGCAGATCCATGGGGAAAGTGATGCAAAGAACCCACCCCCACCTGCCCCCAAAGCTTCAGGCTCCCTCCAGCTCAGGGCCTCCCGGCTCCTTTGCGTCTCCTCCTTCCCCAGCTAGTCCCTCCCTTCTTGGATTGCTTTCTGTGGCCCCGACATCCTCCCACCCGTGATCGGGTCACAAGTGACTATCCCTGAATTCACCGTCCCAAACCCTTCACCCTGCCCAGAGCACATGAATGGAGAATGCAGGGGGTGGGGTGGGTGGGATGGAGGTGAAATTCCAAAGGCCACAGGGGAGGGCAACCCAGCTTGGCCAGCAACCTTGTCCTGCTCCACTATGGCCTGGTGACTTCAAAGAGCCTGGGTGGGCTGGGGAGAGCTGTTCTTCAGGGCAGTGAACATGTAGACCCTGGGCAAAGGCCTGGCTGGCCCTTTCCGCTTTGCTAAGAAAGGCAAGGACGTCAGACAGGACATCAGACCCAGAGGCTGGACTTAGGAGGGAAGCCAGGAGCAGGGACAGAGAAGGCCAGGCCCATGGAGGAGGGCACAGAGAGAAAGGCTTTGATTTGTTTCTGCAGCCTAGGCAGTATGGGGCCCTGGCCCATTGCAGCCTTTCCCTTTGCTTTTGAGAAGCCCACGAATGGCAGCATAGCCCCTGGTGCCTAGGACAGTTCTTGTGCTCAAGGAGGAGCCTCCCCACTTTCTGAGGAGCTGAGCTAGGCTGGGTCTCAAAAAAGAACCAGCCATCCCTTCCACCTCCTGCTTCTTGGTGGGGCAACTCTTGCCCATCTAGAGCAGAGAAAACCAGGAGGAAGAAAAGGAAAAAGGTGACAGCAGCAGTCTAGACATCCCCTGTCCCCACCTGCACCTGCCAGCTGCCCCCTCAGCATGGCCCCTTCCCCTCAGCACAGGGATAGGTGGAGGCGAGACCCAGCACCGTGGTAGAGCCCTGGGAAATGTCCCTAAATCCTTGGACTTGTGGCACCTCCTGTGTACACCTACAACCAACTCTGGGAGTACAAACCCTCTAGACACACATACCTGAGGGCTCTGCCTATGCGTACACAGACCCCTTCACAAAGATACACTCATACATGTCTAGAGAAGCACACACACACACACACACACACTCACTCACTCATGCAATCTTAAACAACCCTCCACCCTGGCCCCCCCATCTCTGGGCTCTGCGGTCCATATCCTGCCTCTGGTTCTCATCCCTGCCCACCCCCAGTCCTCTCCAATGGGGCATCTGTCTCTGTCACTCCTGAGACCACTCTGGTCATGGTCATTAACAACCACCACTGTCAAGTCCTGTGGTCATTTGCTTCCCTCTCGGCCAACTCCCCCTGTTGGGCCCACTCCCCCTGGATGGCTCTTCTCTCCTGGGTGTTGCCCTCCTTCAAGGGCTGACTTGTTCAGTTGCTGCTTCCTACTCTTGTATGCAGGCTGCAAGGTAGAAGGGCCCAGAGCTCCCAGGCTTCTTTCCTTTCTCCACCTGCTCTCTTTCCCCTCATGATCTCACCCAGCTCAGACTTTAAATACCAACTCTATGCAGGCGACTCTCATATTTGTATCTGCTGCCCTGACTTCTGCATGAGCTCCAGACTCCTCTACCCAAGGGTCATGGCCAGCCAGCAGTGCTGATTCCCTAGCTTCTTCCCAAACCTGCTCCTGGTCCTTCCCACATCGTCAGTGCTCGTACCCCCTTCCCTATTGCTCAGGTCCTGACGTTGGGATCACTGCTGACTACTCCTTTCTCCTTGCCTGCTCTGATACCTGGTCCTTTAGCAAGACTTCCCAGCTCTGCCTCCCAAGTAGCTTCTGGATTTGACCACTTCTACTGCTTCTAGCTCAGTCCGGCATAGTCATCTCCCATCTGGATAGCGGGTCACCTTGTGACAGGCTAGACCCTGCTTCCGCTGCTCCCCAGCCTGTCTTCCAACCGAGTCTGTTCTCTGTCCCCAAGCCTTCAGCTCATCTACTCCTCTGCTTCAAACTCACAGTAGCTGAACCCGGCAATTCGAATACAACCCAGAGATCTGCCATGGCCTACAAGGCCTGGGTTACCATCTCATCCCTCCTTTTACATCTCATAGGTGGTCCAGTCGCCATGTCTGCCATGCCCAGAGTTGTGGCATCCCTTCTGTCCACTGGACAAGGCAAGCCCGCTCCAACCACGCTATCCCTAACTTGCCTCAGACATTCTCCTCCAGTTGGTTGCAGGGCTGGCTACTTTTTTATCAGGTTTTAGCACAGATGCTACCTCATCGCATAAGCCTTTCCTGGCCGCATAGCTAAAGTAACTCCGTCCCCAGCTTGGCACCCTCCCACTACCTTCTTTTATTTTCAGTATAGCACTTACCACCACCTGCTATCTTTCCTGTTTGTTGTCTGTCTCATCCTGTGAATTTGAGTGCCAGGAAGGCAGGGACTCTGTGTGGCAGATCGCCAGATTCTGGCAAATTCTGGGGTTCAGTAGATGTTCGTCGAGTTGGTCCACAGATGGACATACAGACCGCCGTTACAGGCACGCACATTTTTTTGCGCACGAGCACACTCACCTCTGCACCCTCCCAGTTCCACCTGCACAACGTTCAGTGCTTAACACAAAGATGCCCTGCTGTGTGCCTCTGTGCACTCACATCCTGCCCTGAGAGACCTACCAAGGCATGGGACATCCGCCCCGCCCACAACACTCACAGCCCGGCAGGCTCACCTCCCGCACGTGGCACCATCACACACGGACCACGCGGACTCACCCCTCTCCTCCCGCCCCGTCACCGGCAGCACATAGACACACCCTTCCACAGACGTTTAGCTCTGTCTTCCGAGGAGAGCTGATAGGGCCTGGGCAGTGAGGGAAGTAGGGCCTGTCCAGACCTGCCTCAAGGATAGCCTTTTCAGAACTGCAGGCTGTGCGCCCCATCTGAGGTCTGACCCCACCGAAGCCTTGACCCCTCTGAGCCCCTGCATCTCTCCATGTGAGGCCTGGGTGGAGCCTTCCAGCTCAGGGAGAGGACAGAACGACTCCGAGTCCCTTTCCGTTCAGTGTGTCTCCCGGGGCCACAGGGAAGAAGTGGGAGGGAGGGAAGGTTCTGAGCTGGGGGGCAGGAGGGTGAGCACCGGAGGGCAGGTCACCCTCGACCCTTACGTGTCTTGCCCACAGGTGAACACGCATGCCATTGTGGAGACAGATCATGGAGGGAGTGACAGCCTCAAGCAGATGGCAAAGCCTGGCAGACAGACACAGGGCAGGGGGCAGAGACAAATGGGCATTATTAGCTGCCAGCGTGGCACAGAATGAAAAGCAATGGAAATGGAAGTGGGAACAGGAAGGAGAATTAAAGTCAAATTAAAGAGGATGCCTGTCTGCACAACTCTCCAAGCCAGGATTTTGTGGCTTCCGGACTCCAGCTCTCCAGGGGTCTATCTCTCGTCTGGCCAACCTGTTGGGCCACATTAGCTCCTCCCCCTGCGAGGCCTTAGGCAGGGGATGCCACTGTACACTGGGGGCACGGTCTGAACCCCGGGGGTGCTTCGCTATTCCGAGCTTCTGTTGTCTGTCCCAAATCAATGCAGTGTATGATAGGACATCTTGGGAGGGCCAGGGGAGATTTTTGGAATCATCCCTTTAACATTTTTTTGGAAAGTAAAGCAAACATCCAGCACACATGGTGTCAGAGACTGTGGAGAGGGGTGGAGTGGATGGCACTGACTGACACATAGAGCTCCGTACCCTTTAGTTCAAATCCAAGATGCTCTGGCAGTGCAGAAGAGAGCAGGGTCAGAGAGGGGAGGGGATGGAGGGAGAGATACAGAGAGAGATGGGGAAGTGGGGAGGGCAGGAGAGAGAGAGAGAGAGAGAGAAAGAGAGAGAGAGAGAGAGAGAGAGAGAGAGAGAAACGTTGGTCAGGACTCTTCAGACACCAGCAGCCAGCCTGTGAGGTGAAAGCAGGTTAGTGGCGTCCCCTCCCGGCCTCCTGAACCCTGCCCTGGCACCCAGTCCCCAAGAGCCCTGATGGGGGTAGAGAGAGGAGTGTTAGGATCAGCAGGCAGGGCAGGTTCTTTAGAGATGAGCCATGGGGTTAGTACCTGGTGGGAGGCGGAGGCACAAGAGTCAGTCGGCAGATGTCCCCAGAGAGGAAAGGTGAGTGGGGGTGCGGCTCTGAGGAGTCCCTGTGTTCCTTCTCCTCCCAGCTCCAGTACCAGGCCTCCCACACTCCCACACCCTTCCTGGAGACGATCTGCTCAGCCCTGAGCTCGTTCAGGGGGCCCTTTTTTCTGTCCAGAATGAGGGCACGAGGTGCCCAGGACTGGTCCTGCCTCCAAAGTCCCATCTCCTGGAAGCCTAGGCATGGAGACTCCTGAGTTTGTGGGGAGAGGCTTGAGGCAGCAGGCCACTTCTCCACCTGACACCTCCAACATGCTAGATGCCTACAGGGCCTAGACCTTGGGGTCTGGGCTTGATTTTACCACTCAGAAGAGCAAACTGCAACTTCTAGGAAAAGACAGGTGGGTTCACCTGTGGAACACGTGTGTCAGGTGGTGAGCAAGTTGCACTCCAAAGTCGATCATGTTGTAAATGTGCACTTTCAGAGCCCCACAAGGTGGGCCCCCACGCCATCGAGGGGTTAGATCAACGGGCCCCACCCAAGGGTCAGCCCTGCCCCAGACCCACTGTGTTTCCAAGTACACCAGGCCTATCCACCTCTCAGTGTCTTCTCTGTTCAGATTGGAGCTCTGCCACCCTGCCATACTTAGGAATCATCCAGACCAATGGGATTGGACTCTGGGGTGGGAGCCCAGATATCTCAACACTGTTTCTGAAAAGCTCACCTACCATTCTAATGTGACCAGCGCCTGTCTGTAGGCTCTGAGTTTCAGTTTTGTCCCTAACATGCTGTGTGCATGTGGGCAAGCCTAGTCTCTGTTTCCTCAACTGTCAAAAGTGTGTATACGTAGGGAGAGACGTGGGAGGCCTGGACAGGGGGAGGCTCAGTGTGTGTGAAGGGGCCCAGTCTATGGCCTCCCCACGTGCAGTCAGTTCCGTGAGATCCAGGGAGGAGGTGAACTTGGGTTCTGATGCTCTCGTCTCCTGTAGGGGAAGGAGAGCATGGGGGCCACCAGCTGGAAGTCCTGTGCTGTTCCTGCTGATTGAGTCTCTGGGCCTGACTAGTGAATCATGAGGACGGTGACCACCTGGAGTAGCGAGCTGGGGACCAAAGCCTTTGAAGGGTTTTCTTCTGCTTCCTTGCTCTGGGAACCAAGTAATAGCAGCAGCAGCAGCAGCAGCAGCTTCTGTGCCTCCTAACTGACCTCCCCTTTGAGTCGAAGGCCCATATGGTTTTGGGTGGGCCATTGGTGACTGACAGGAGTGGTGATGTCACTGCCAGAAGGCAGCCCTGCTCTCCTCTCACCGGGGATGGATTCTGAGGGGCCGGTGTCTATATCTGCTCCTGTCAAAGATGCTCCCCACTCGTCATATTCATAGGTGGCCTCTCAGCCGGGATAAACAGCACCACTGAGTCACAGACAGGTCCTTTGCATACTGGGCAGACATTTGCATACTGACCAGTAACCATGGCAACCTGATGCTGGACTCCCAGCAGGTCCAGGTTTACCAGATGATACACACAGTCTCCATCCTGGACACGTCCTGTGACACACAGTTACAGGGGCCTGGCTGGGGAGGCCAGGACGTGGGCCCCTGATGAGAGCATGTGCTCATGTGTTTGTGCAGGCGTGTGCTTATGTGTATGGGTTCTTTTCACTTGGCGGGGGGGGGGGGGGATTAGCGATATGCAGGGTTTGACTCTTGGGAAATGGAGGGACTGTCAGGGAAAGAAGGAGTGCTACTCTGGCCCTAGGCTTTGTTTCCATGGACTCTGCAAAAGGTAATCTGGTCTAGAGGTTGTCTGGGCGGGGTGGCGGCAGGGGTGGAGGGAGTCAGCCCCTTTGCTCAGGACTGGCTGGGAGTCAGCCTCCAGGGTGCTGGTGGGGGCCCTCCTGCCCCCACCTCATGCCAGCTGTAGCTACCAGAGGAGCTCAGCTGCCGTCCATCAGCAGCGGCAGGCTCTCTGCTCAGCCCTCTGTAGGCATCGCTGCACTTCCATCCTCAACGACAACCCTCGAGGTGTAAACATTACTATCCCCATTTTAGAGATGAGAGAACAAACTCAGAGAGGTTAAATGAGGCCCCAGAACTAGGAAGCTCAGCAGCTGGCATTTTTATTCAGATCAATCTGAATCCAAAGCCCGAACACTTAGAGGTAGCATTTTCTACCACCTGTTCAATAATTATTTGATACAACATTGCACTAAGTGCTCTGGGCAAAGTGCTTGAAGACTGTAAGTCCTTCACGGAAAGGAAATGGCAATGATCCTGATGACACTAGGCAGAGAGGCCTGTGGCAGTATTTCTAGACTTCTTCTGGGCTCCTGAACCCTGTGGACCCTTCTGAGCTGAAAGTTGAAGCAGCGCAGCTGGCAGAAAAGTTTGGCCAATGGCCGAGTTCTGGAGGCTTGGCAACTCTGATTCAGGATGGACTGGGACTCCCTGTCCAGAACAGTCCCATAAGGCAGGGAGGCTCCAGGCCTAAGAGTAAAAAGGAATAGGCCCTCCATGGCCTTTTTCCCCTGGTCCTTAGCCTTGGCCTGGCTGCTCTGTTCCCTCCTGAGGCCCCTCCTGACCTATGGTCTTCCATGGGGGGGCTGGATCTGACTCTGCACTTCTTCCTAGAGCTTGGGCTCTGGAGAATTCTGGACCACATACCCTGACCAGAGCTCTCCTCTTATCCCCATAGCCTTCCTCCCTGGCCTCTAGCCAGAGGGGCCTGCGGAGAGTGCTACCTCCCACACACTGTGAAGACAGTTGACCATCTGGGCTGACCACCTCCCTGGGGCCTCTACTTTCCTCTTTAAGTCATGGCTTCCAGGCTTTAGCAGGGAGAAGGAGGTGATGATTTCTAGGCTTTTGTGCTGTGGCCTAAGGAGGGGTGGGAGACTTGTTTCTCCACCCTGAGACCCAAACTCTCCAAATGACCCCTGGGTCCTGCTCTCAGCCTCTCCTGCCTGGAGCTCTACCTCTCGGTGCCTAGGCACCATCACCTAATTAGGAATTAGGTTCCTAATTCTTCATGGGACTCAGCTGTCCTCCTAGGAGAGGAAGAGGTAGGGTGGGCTGAGCAGGGACCTAGTATGTTCTGGAGGAGGGGTGACAGTGTCCCGCTTTACAGGCCAGCAGACTGGTAGGCCCCAGATGGAGTCCATGGCCGGCCAGGGGCTTTTTGCTCTGCTCCACCTCCACCTGGTGATACTTGAAGAAATTGCTCCCAGCCTCAAATAAAACACTCTACAGTTAGGGTCTCATCTTTCTGCTGCAGGGCTCGTTTTTCCCCCCACAGCTAACTAGGCAGACCAGAAAGCTCCAACCTCACAAGTGGAAGAAAGGAAGGGAATGGAGTCCAGAGTGGGCCTGGAAAGAATCAGCAATTATCCCTTGAATCCTCATTTCGTCTATGTTTTAGCAGGCAGCAACCCCCCCATCCCACCCTATCCTTGAATGTCTCTGACCTCTGGCTTCCATGGAAACCAGTGCCCTGGGGCTTGTTCTCCCTCAGCACTCCCTTCCCCACTCTCCCCCATCACCCCAAATCAAAACAAACTCTGGCCAGACCCAAAGACAGGCTGAGAACTTATTTGTCTCTCTCAAACACACCGGTACACACGTGCACACACTCATTGCCTGGCCCCATCAGCAGCTGACGTCCTCAAAAGGCTTTAAAAGGCAGGTGAGGGCCCTGCTAACACCTCTCCCGCTGCTGGCCTCGTTGCCCACCCTCAGAAGTGGTGCAGAGGCCTGAGCGCAGCCCCCCTCTCCTTGCAGAGAGAATTGGGGGGTTGTTACTGCGTGCAGCCAAAAGTCGGGTGGGGTGGGGTGCGGTGGGGTGGGGGGTGGCAGGGGGCACATCCGTCTCTTCCGAACAGGCTTCTAGTGAGCACTGATGACTGAGAGGAGCCCAGGACACTACCACTCCCCTCTCTCCCCTGTGGCTCCCTCTAGTCAGGCTAAGCAAGGCCGGGCCCCTCCCGCACGGGGAGACTGTCAGTCACCAGGGAGGAAAAGAAATAGAAGAAAGAGACATACTGGAGAAGTTGACCATTGCGAACTGCTGACACCTGTCCCCGGTGTATCCCACAGGACACCTACCAAAAGAAAGAAAACCAGAAAGAGAGAGCCAGGATAGCAAGACACAGGCATTGCAATACCCCGGCACGGGCTCCTGCCAATGCCAGCTGGGTTCCTTGCCACCGTTACCGCTTGTACTGGCCTTGCCACTCTGCCCCTTACCTGCAGCCCTGAACTTTAAACCCAAGGATTAGGCCAAAAAATGAAAAACAAAGCAAAACAAAAGAACAAACCAAAATACAAAAAAGAAAAGAGAAACAAAACAAAACAGCCAAAGATCAAAACTACCAACACCCCTGGCCCTATGCCCTACATCGGGGGGACTGCACCCGGAAGCTTTCTAGGGAGCAGGGACTTGTGTTTGTATCTTCAAACATACTTTGCTTAGGATCTGGCATGTACAATCGCAAAGGCAGTTTCTCCAAACATCTCTGTCCGAAGAATCCGTTTGGACATCTGGAGAAGGAAAAGGGGAAAAATCACAGAACAAACTGGCATCATCCGCGAGGCTCAGGTTAGAAATCAAAGTGCACAGTGATGAATGAGAAAACCAAGTCGGGCGCTGGGGCACACTCATCGCTGCAGGGGCTGGAGTCGGGGCTGGGGAAGGGCTCGGAAAACTTCAAAATCTCTCTACTCGGTGTTGCTCCGGGTGGTGGGGGGTAGGGGTGGGGCGGAGAGGAGGATGATTTAGGGAAAGCGGGTGGGGAAATTGGGACCCTAAAGCCCAATTGTCCTGTGGTTGTGGAGCCTTCGCTTCTGACCTGCCTGGGGTCCCCTGACGCCAGAACAGTAGCCCCTTGGTGCCAGGCAGTCAGGCAGGAGACCGGGAGCCTTCCAGAATACCAAGTTCTGGGAAGCCACTCCTTCCAGGCCCTACCAAAGGGTTCTCTCCAGGGCCCTGGGCAGGTTTTCTCATCCATGAAACAGCCCCCAGAAAGCTCAAAGGAGAACTTTGGAATGCTGTTCCCAGACTGTGCCCATGACAAAAGTGACCTTGGAGGTGTTTCATCTGTTCTCTCAAAGAGGGTTCTGTGGCCAAATAAATTTAGGAAATTTGCTCCCAGACTTGTAGAGTTGCAGTGCACACTGGCATATGAAAAGCTAGGAAAAGTTTTGTAGGAGAAAAGAGCTTGAATCTTCCACTATGTTCCAAATTTATTTGACCAAGGAAGACATTTTTTGAGGAACCCTTGCGAATATGGTTTGGGGAAGGCTGCCCTAGGGCAATACACATGGGGAAAAAAAGCCTAGTGGGGAACAGGTGAGGCTGGGGAGGAGCCAGAATTACCAACATCTCAAAGCTGGCCTGCCAAGGCCAGGTGCAGGACATCTACCCTCACGTGGCTAAGAACCATGATTGGGGGCAGGGAGGGCTGAAGCAGGCTTCCTGTGGACCCTGAAACTTCTTCCAGTTAGGGGTCTACTGGCTGCCTGGACACCTGTCTCTTCCCCATGACCTGCTCCTCCATCCCTGCCTGGCTCCGGTGGGAGTGCATTCTCCCGGGGTATCTCCTCGGTAGCTACAGAGCACCCCCACTCTCTCTCCCTGACCTTGTCCTTCCTCCCAGGTGCACTTTCCTCTGCTCTCTGGCTTCCCCTTTCTTCTCAAGTGAGTCCCTGTCTTGCAGATTTCTGGGAGACCTGCCCAGCCCTGTCCTCTCTTCCGAACCCCAGCAAGGCCAGATACCTAAGGGAACATTGAAGAGGGGGCCAGACTGACCACCCCGCTCCCCCCCATTCCCCTACTTGAAGATGGGTTTAGGCTGCCTCTGCCGCTTTTTCCTTAGGAAATTAGGTGACCCCATCAGCAATGTTTCCTCAATAATAGATCACTGTGCAACATTAATCAGTAAACCTCCTCAAGAGGTGAGAGTACTCTACCTCTTAGCATTCTCGTGTATACCAACCATCAGCAACCTCTTGAGTTTATAGGGGACAGCTGCCATTGGCTGTGATAGACACTCATGGAAACCTTGTTAGCCCCAATCTAGCCGGGGGATGGGGATGGCTGGAGACAGACAGCTGGAGTTTCTCTGGGCCTCGGTGGCATCTCCCTCAGGGGAGCCAGTTGACTGGTCTCTGCAATGGTGGCAATGTGTGTAGGTATGCGTAGCCAGTGGGTGGTGGCTAGGGACTGGTAAGTGTGTCTGAAGAAAGTGGGGGGGGGGTAGTTACAAGGGAACTTGATGCACGCTCATCCTGTTGAACAGGGTGGCTTTGAGGAGGAGGGAGAGGAGGAGGAGGGGGAAGAGGCTAACACCTTGTCAATATATCCTTCTCTGATCTAAGCATCCTGTCCCAGGAAAATGGAGGTAGTGCCTAAGGCTTCCCAACCAGCTCCTGTCAGGCTCAGCTCTCCTTCCTCAGCTCTCAGAGACTGATGTCCTCTTGGGATGGGGACCAGAGGGGAGAGGTGATTTTTTTTTTTTTTTTTTTAAAGCAGCAGCACATTCGGGGATGGAGGATAAAGACCCAAAAGATTGCCAAAAATGATTCTCGGAATCCTCAAAGGAATAAGAAAGAGATAGATTTGACTGTGTCCAATGTCTGAGATTAGCCCAGCTCGTGTGTGTGTGTGTGTGTGTGTGTGTGTGTGTGTGTGTGTGTATTTGTGTTTGAGAGAGAATGGGGTAGTGCAGGGGCAGGCGGGGCAAAGGGAAAATTTATTTCCTTGCCGATAGTCAAGGGATGCTGTCCTATGGCTCTTGGGAGACTGATGATAACTAAGCACATCCCTGAGTCCCTGATCCCCACACCCAGGCTGGACTGCCTCCACTGCACCCTCCGATCTTTCATGGCCACTGAGTACCACAACCCCAGGTGGCCCCAGGGCCACGGTCTCTAACATGAACGTGCCCCCCCACCCCGGAGTTATGTAATATGGTCCTAATCTTCTTGCCTTGTGTTTCCCACTGGCTGAACAAAAGAAAAGGCAGTGGGGAATGGGCATAGTGTGGGGGTTGGCGGACTGGCTCCCCATACTGTCCTTTGGGCACTAGATCTTTCCAGCAGGCTCCTGGGCTCACCTTACCCCTGCTTTTTGAGAATGAGCCATGCCTGGGAGCCTGAGGCTTCCCTAGAGAAGATTCTGGAGTGAGCCTACCGCCTTGCTGCCCTGCACTCAGGACATGTACAGGGTGTGGGCTATGTAAACCTATGGGGTCTGATTCTGTGTGGGTAGCTGGCTGGTAGTGGGTTACCACTGAGACAGGGATTGGCACTCTGAGTTTCAGGCTACAGGGGGCAGTTTAGAAGGAGCAGCAGGTCATAGCTTTCTCAGCCCTCCCCCACGTCATCAGCTATGACTATGGGAAGGTCTGTGCCCAGGGCTGGAGAAGAGCAGAGGTGATACAGGGGCTGAGAGGAGAGCCCATGGGCTGTATCTGGGGTGACAGGTTGGAACTCTGCCTCCCCATTTTCCCACCCACCTCCTGGGCCTCAGTTTCTCCTTTTGGTAGCCTGGGGATAATGCCATGTGTGCTGCCCTCACCCGGGGTAGGGGGAGGATGAAGGATGAGGGTGTGCCCCAGGCACTGGAGGGGGTGAAGGGTCTCTGGCCTCATGAGAGGTGAGGTGGAGATGTGGAGAGGATGAGCAGGCAGATGGGTATGGGATGGGGAACCACCTGAACATGGGGTGGGACGGGGGGTGGGGAGCAGAAGGGGGAGGGATGAGCTTGATGGGAAAGGGAGGCATGCCGCTGGTATGTGCACAGGGCTGGAAAGAGAGTCTTGTTCTGTCATCATCCCCTGAACCAGTCCCCAAGAGTCACGCACCAACCGTGCTCTACAAAAACACGGAGAGAAGAGGAGAAAGCAGCAAGAAGAAGTGCAGAGGCCCCTGTCTGGCCCAGACAGGAGACAGTCACCTTGATTTGGATCCCCATTTTCAAATCCCCCTAAGTTTTCTTTCTTTCAAACAAAATTCAGTATCAGTGACACTGTTTCTTTTGGCTCTGAATTCCAGAAAAACAGGAGGGATGGAGTGTGCCTGCTTTCCAGCACTCCCTGCAGGGCTCTGAACCAATACACAACAACAAGTGTCAGAAAACCAGGAAGGAAAACTGAGTTTTATAGAAACTGGAATGAAACTGACCAGTCTAGTTTCATTATCCAAGCTAAGCGGAAATGCAAAAAAATCAAAATAAAAAGTAAACAAACAGCACAAATGGTAAGACGTGAGTTCTGTTTCCTATATTCTTTCCTTTTTATTCCATTCAGGTGTCATCAGGAATCCCAAGAGGCCTGCCCCCCCTTCCCTCCCGACTCACCCACCCCCAGAATGGCCTCTGGGTTCTGCCCTGCCCCCCTCCCCCCTGTCCTTCTCCAGCACAGCTCTGAGGACCTGCCCTCCTGAAAGTGATCTCCCCTGAGGGCTCAGGGAGTCAGGGATCCTGGTTCCAGGAGCCCTGACTGGGGCTGACCTAGGGCAGGTTGAAATGGGGTGGTGGTGGTTCTGGGTACCAAGGTCAAGTTCTAAGCAGGGAATCCCAGTTGCCCTGGTGAGGAGAGGACACAGGACACTATCTTCGTAATGGTTTAGGCTCCTGCCCCCTGCTTCTCTCAGATCTAGCTTGGGGTGACTCAGAGGGTCCTAGGGGTACAGCCTTGCCGGCAGGACCCTGTGGAATCTCATAAGCTCACCACACCCCTTTCCACACTAAATGCTAACACTGGAGCTCTCCCATCCCATGGCCCTCTGTGGCCCTGGCACCTGTCCTGGGTGGCTGAAACCTTCCCTGACTGGAGCCAGGGCTGATCTCTGTGATGCTGCTGGATTCCTTCAATGTCTCAGGGTCCAAGGGGCTAGGGAAGAGGAAAGGCATGGTGTGTGTGGTGTGCGTGTGTGTTTGTGTGTGTTGGGGGATAAAAGAGGGGCTGGGCCATGTCCGTGAGGTACTCCAGAACCCTTATGACTTTCTACAGATCTATTGCAGAGAGCTCAGAGCGTTTTCAAGGCTAGAATGTTTCACACGGTCTCTAGCACTAAGGTGGCAGCTTCCCAGAGGCAGAAGGAGAAAAGAGGAGGGGCTGAGGACTTCCTGGGGGACCTGCTGTTGCTGCAAATTCAGGATGAGGGAGGCCAGTAAGGGGATGGCAGCAGGTGCAGGGCGGGGCTGGGGGGGGGGCAAGCCAACAAGGGAGGCCTGCTGGGGAAAGAGGCACAGATCTGGCTGGCAGTTGGGGCCCAGCTAGTCCAGCACCAAGGTGAGACTGTCAAGGAGGCATGGCCCCTCATGATCACCTGTGAAGGGGGAAGGGACTTTGGCTAAGGCTACAGTCAGTGGGAGAATGCAGCTCTGGAGCTGGAGCCCAGAGGCAGGAGAGCTGAGAGGTGCTGAATCTGACCTCGTCTGTGGGGAGGGCATATGCCTCTCTGAATTTCTACCAATACTCTGGTGGCCTTTGCCCACATGCCATGGGAAAGGGGCCATTGTGGCACCTTGCAGGGTGCTCGGCTTGGGGTGCTTTGAAAACCCAAAGTTGTTAACCAGTGCCCCTTCTTCCTCCTCAGGATCTGGCCAGAACCTGCACTGCCCTCACCAAGCTCTCCCTCCGGCTCCTCATACACCCACCAGAGAACCTGTCAGGGGGTGCCGTGGGCCCAGCTGCTTGAATAGGACCCAGCTGGACCTGAACAAGCCCTCCTGGGTACTGTGCTCTCATCTGCTCTGTTTGCTAAGGGGAGCAGGATAAAGATCCTGCTGGGTAGAGAAGCCTCAACTTGAGCTTCTTCTTAACCTTGACCTCCCCCTTGGGCCACACCCAGAGTGGTGTCTTTGCTGGTGTACCCTCACCCCTTAGAGAGGAGCTAGGGTCTGAAGTGGCAGAAGTGACTCCCAGGGTGTATCTGGACACCAGACAGAGACAGTAGCCAGGACTTGAGGTGAGCACCGGATGCAGAGTCCTCATCTACCCTCAAGGCTCTGAGAGCAGACCCTCCACTACCAAGGGCACTGGGAATTGTGCTTTGCCTGACCCTCCCAGGATCTTCACTGCTCGGGGAGACACACCCTGGGAAATGTTCATCAGAACACAGTTTGGAGAGTTGCTGAGAGATGGGGAGGGTGGTGGTGCGGAGAGAAGGGGGAGAGAGAAAGAGACAAAGGGAGGGGGAGAGAGAACCCAGTGCCTAGGGCATAGACTGGCATCCCCATCTCCCTAAAGGGTGGGGTGGTGAAAGGGTGGACATGGGGAGATGGGGTGGGCAGGGGCCTGAGAAACTGGCACTGCAGAAGCCCTGAGCCCTTTAGAGTTTACATCTCACTCTATTCTCAGAAAGGCCTAGGAAGTGGGGCAAACCTCCCTGTCTACACCCCTGGGAGACACCCTGTCAGTGGCTTGAAGTCCACTTTGCCTAGAGCCCTCCACTTCTGCCCAGCCTCTCTCACCCTAATCTTGCCCCCATGCCCATGCCCACCCCCACTGGTCACTTACTTGCAGGAGAGCTGGTTGATGCCCTCGATGTAGTAGCAGACGCCTCCATTGACACAATAGGACTTGGCTGTCTCGTTGCATTTCCGGGCGTGCCCCGACCATGATGACAGAGTGGTACTCACTGGAGGTATGAGAGACACGTGCCAGTGACCCACTGAGACCAACTCTGGGCCCCAGGCACCACCTCTTTCATGGCCCGTCAAGGCCCATCTCAAAGCTGGAAGTTCAGGAACTGCAGGAGGAGCTGGAGAGGGAAGGTCTGGTGGTGCCTCCCAGTCACCAGCAAGGCACAGGGGAGGCCACCAGGAGCTCTGACCCTTTGCCCAGCACCACCCTGCACCTGTGCTCTGGGCAAACTGCCAAAGGCCAGGAAGATTTGCTTTATTTGGGAAGGAATGAGAGGCTAGCAGAAAATGCTCCTTGTGCTGGAATAAGCACCCACTTCTTGCCTGCCTTTCTGGGGCCTCCACTGCAGGTGGGATATGATACTATGCCCTTTGTGGGGAACAGAGTCATGGGGGTACAGGGAGGAGACATCTATGTCAATCTGCACTGCTTGGGCTCTTGGGGTAGCCCAGGAGGGTGGCTGGAAGGGAGCTGGGCTTTGAAGGGAACAGCACCTTTTGGACACTCAGTCTCTAAGATCTAGAGAGAGGTGAGGAAGAGAATCCTAGCGTCCATGTCTTCCTCCTTTGCCCCAGAGGGGACCAGCCTTCCAGGAAGGCTACAGAGGCGGCTCTGCCCATCTCCGTAAGCGCCCACCCAGGAGTTTTCTTTGCATTCTCACCAGGCAGCCCCGTCCTCCCCCACCCAGTCAGCTGTTGCCTCTGAGGGAGCATCCAGGCCTCGACAGCTCAGGCTATAAATCCTGGACGTCAGGTCACTGGAGAGGAGGTGGGCTTGGGAGAGGCCTGTACGATGGCTGGGATGTCAAAACTGGGAGAGAGTGAGGCTGGGCTTTAAGGCTGCTGACCCAGCCTGCATATCTGATTGATCAGATTCATTTGGTACATGAACATAACTAAGTTCTGCTCACCCATGGGATGCCATCCAGAAACCTGGTTTCAAGTGAAAAGCTTTGCCCCAGATGTTTTCATCTGTAAGATAACTCTGGAGGCTGTGTATCCAGATTGGCTAGTCCCTCAGCCTCCAGGGCTCCGAGGGTCTCTCGCTCCCACCCAGCAGCAGCAGCAGCAGCAGCAGCCTCCTGAGGTGCTCCTGTCTCCTCATGGGTACCCAGTCCCTCCCCGCCCCCTCCCCGTGGTGATGGGGTTGAGAGGAGGAGGAGGAGGGCAGGCACTTGGCGCCCTCAGTGTTTAGACATGTGGGAGACAGATGGAGCGCGGGGACCGTGAGTGTATACACAGCTCTGCCTCTGTATATGTCTGAGGAACTTGCTGATAAAACCCGGCGGGCAGGGCCGGCTCCCACCTTCCCCTCCTCACCATGCCTGCTGCTGCTCTGGCCTCCCTGAGCCCCACCCCTGAGGAGGTCTCCCACCAACCCACAACCCACACTCAGCAGGGACTTGCGCGCTGGCAGGGACAGGAGGCCTCTGCTGGTCTCTACCCACTCTGGGTCAGGGAGACCCAGAGAACCGAGAGAGGGACAGAGGAGAGAAAACAGCTGAGGTGACCTTGCCTGTGACATATAAAATCTGTTGCTCTAAGGGACACCAGAGGTTGCCCTGCCCTTCAGTTATATTGTCAAGGAGAAGGGAAGACGAAGAGCAGGGGAATGCCTGTCGAGAGCCATTGTGTGCGTTGTGACAAGGCCTCAGGGCTCCTGATGCCTGGTCGAGGCTCTTCACCAGCCAGCCAGTCCCTTGTGGAAGAGCATGTCAGCACGTAGGCGTGACATCAGCAGACGAATGCAAACACGGTATGGACCAGGGCCCCCGCTGACTGAGGCAGAGGAGTGTCGGGTCAGCTTGATTCCCTCTGAAGCGGTGGGTGGCAGAGACTGCCCAGTGCTGTCCTGAGTGAGCAGTGGACAGCAGCGAGGATGGTGGCGGGGACACAGCTGTCCACATGCGTGTCAGTGTTTACGGAGGCCTTGGGAGGAGGAGGACAGCTCTTGAAGCAAGATGAGGCCTCAGCTGGGATGCACGGCCGGGGCTGCCGGAACCGTGTCAACGTGGGGGCTAGGATCAGGGCCCAGAAAGGCAAAAAGGGTGGGCAGTGGGGGAGCCAGTCACAGAGGGGATTGGGGGGTAGAATGAGCACAGGCCTCTCCCCCTCAGAAGTAACTTGAGGCCACCTGCTCTGCTGGCAGGGCCTTCCCAAGTCGCCGCAGCCCAGCGCTGCTGGGGGGGAAGGCTCACGCCAGGAGAATTTCCACACTGAAGATGTGCACTTGTGCTGTTCCAGCACACACGCACTCCCAAGGCCACTGGTCTGGGCTCCATGGTCAGCATATCTGTGTTTCTCCACTGTGTTCTCCCGTGTTTGGGGAAGTGAAGATGACATACGGACTCCACGTTGGAGAGTCCGGCTGCCCCCTTGATGCCCCCACGGGGATGGTTCCTCGCCTCCCCAGGAGGGGCTCCTTATCATCGGCCCAGACCCTTGCTCCCCCAGGCTTGCTGTGAGCAGCACAAACCAAAGACCTGGAGGGCATCTTTGGTTTCTTTTCCTCCTTTATTATTCCCATCCATCTATACTGAGGCTGCCTTTGTACATCCTCATGAGCCTCTGTCCATGTGTCCCTACTGGTCCCCAGTCCAGGCCTCCATGGTCTCTTTCTTGGATGACCAGAGCAGCCTCCTCACAGGTCTTTCTACTCTCACTCTGCCTTCATCTCTCACCTTTTTTGCTTCATTGCTCAAAGTGATCTTTAAAATATGTGAAAGTGGCCGATCACTTTCATGATCAAAACCTTTCAATGGCTTCCATTTACACTTAGAATAAAGTCTCCCAACCTCCCCCCAGGTCTAATCTGGGTACTCCACCTCCCCCACTTCATGTCCTATCCCTCTCTTAGAGTATATTCATACTATACTGGCCTAGTCCAGCTCCTCTAATCAGCCAGGTGTCTTCCTGTCCAGGCCTTTCAAAATGTCGGTCTCAGAGACTCCTCCCTTACTGCCCAGGCTCCTCCCTTACTCTTTCTCTTAGCTGCATACACTTGCACTTATAGTACTTATTCTAACAGAATTAAATGATTAGCTCCAAATGTAAGAACCATCTGGGCAGGGTCCATGTCTGTCTCGTTCACCAGTGAACTCCAATGTTGAGCTTAGTGCTTGGCACACAATGGGGTGCCTAACAAATATTTACAAATACTTGTTATGCGCAAACGGACATCTGATTCTTCAGAGTAAGGTGGCTTCTACTACCACCCCAGGAGCTAGGCTGGTCAACGTGGCCTGATGATGAGTGCTTTTCCATAGACTAAGCATTATCTCCTATTAAGTGCAAATATTCCTGGCGGTCACCAGGGGAAATAAAATCAAACCACAGTGAGATACCACTTCACACCCACTAGGATGGCTATCATAAAAAAATGGACAATAGCACATAGCGGTGAAGATATGAAGAAATTCGAATCTCTCTACATTGCTGGCGGGAATTTAAAATGGTGCAGCTGCTTTAGAACACAGTCTGGCAGGTCCTCAAAAAATTATACCTAGAGTTACCATATGACCGGGCAATTGCACTTATAGATACCCAAAATAATTAAAAACCTATGTCCACACAAAAACTGTTCATGAATGTTCTAGCAGCATTATGCATAAAGGCCCAAATGGGGAAACACCCCAGATGACCCAACAACCCAAAATGATTAATGGATAAACAAAAGATGTTATATCCATATAATGGAATATTCAGCCACGAAAAGGAAAGAAGTACTGATACAGGTTACAATATGAATGAACCTCAAAAACATGATGTTAAATGGAAGAAACCGGTCACAAAAGGCCATCCATGTATTTATATGATTCTATTTATATGAAATGTCCAGAATAGGTAAATCTGTAGAAGCAGAAAATAGATTTGTGGTTGTCAGAAGGTGAGGGATGTAGGATTGGGGAGTGCATACTAATGGGTTTAGGGGGTGATAATTAGTGATGATGGTTATTCAACCTTCACCTTAATATGTGTATGTGTATGTGAATATACTAAAAGCCACTAAATTGTATATTTTAAAAGGATGAATTTTATGGTATGTAAATTATACCTAAAATTTTTTTATTTAAAAATATCTGGAGGAGGAGCCTGGGTGGCTTAGTTGGTTGGGTGTCAGACTCTTGATTCTGGCTTAGGTCATGATCCCAGGGTCGTGGGATCGAGTTCTGTGTCAGGCTCTGCACTGAGCGTGCAGCCTGCTTAAGATTCTCTTTCTCCTTCTGTCCCTTCCCAGCTCGTATGCTCTCTTTCTCTCTCTCAAAAGAAATGCCTGGAAGAATGGCTAAAATCACAAATATAAGAAACAGCAAGTGTTGGCGAGGCTGTGGAGAAAACGGCTGTCACACTGTTGTTGGGAATGCAAACTGGAACAGGCACTGTGGAAAACAATGTGGAGATTCCTTAAAAAATTAAAAACAGAATTAGCATAAGCTCCAATAATCCCACTACTGGGTATCTGCCCAAAGAATATGGAAACACTAATTCAAAAAGATATGTGCATGAGGTTTATTGCAGCATAATTTATAATAGCCAAGATATAGAAGCAACTCAAGTATCCATCTATGGATGAAGGGATAGAAAAGATGTGGTATATAGATATGTAATGGAATATTACTCAGCCATAAAAAGAATGGAATCTCAACATTTGCAACTTGGATGGATCTAGAGGGTACAATGCAAAGAGAAATAAGTCAGAGAAAGACCTACACAACATGATTTCACTCATATGCAGGATTCAAGAAACAAAGGAATAAAGAAAAAAGACGAATAAAGAAAAAAGAGACAAGTGAAAAAAAGACAAATATAGAGAACAAACTAGTGGTTGCCAGAGGGGGGAGTGGGTGCGGGATGGGTGAAACAGGTGCAGGGTATGAAGAGAACATTTGTGGTGAGCACAGAGTAAGGCAAAGAATTGTTGAATCACTGTTACGCACCTGAAACTAATGCACACTAACTATATTGGAACTAAAATTGAAAATGCCTGTAAGGGTAAACCCAGGAGGTCTCTATCAGCCATTAATTTCTTGGTGGGCGTGAACTTATTGAGGCATTGAAAAGGGAAGGGCCAAGAGGGGAGTTGCTGGGGATGAGATTGTCTCCTGGCTGCTGTTGCTGCTGCCAGCACTCTTTACCACCGCTCATGGAGAAATCTCTTGTCTTTCAAGGCCCAGATCAAGTGATATTGCTCTCTCAAGGCTCCCTCTCACTTGCTCAGCATGCTCCCTTCCCTGTGCATAAAATTGCTTCTCTTTTCTGTGTGTTAGAACCAGCCTGTGCTCTGAATTTGGGTTTTAGCTTCCTGCCAGGAACTTTGAGGGGCTTGGCTAGGAGCCAAGATTATGACCTCCCGGAACTTACAGCAGGGTCTTTCTGAGTAAAGCTTTATGAATATGTGAGCGAAAGAGCAGGTGTGTGTATGTGTATGATTAAACAGCCAGCCTTTCTAAGCACCCCCTGTAAGGGACTTCCCTCTCTAGGGCTCCCATGGTCTTGTGACACCCAAGGTCAAACCTGCCTGCCGTCTGGGGCAAAGCTAGGCCCAGATCGATATCCTGGGACTGGAGCAGCCCCTGGGGTATTCCAAAGATCTCTTTCAGCTGGGGATGAGACAGCTGGTTTCTCTAACTCAGAGATGGGTCGGACCAAGCTGATTGTTTTATTAAAAGCATCACACACTCCTTGCTGACTCCTCCTCCTCTGGGGCAACCCGGAAGGCAGTCTCTTGTGAGCTGGCCGAGCTTTGACTGCAAGAAGGCTCTGCTCTAATTTGAGGAAGAAGCCTCAAGCTCTGCAGGAACCCAAAGCAGGGAGCCAAGAGTCGTGGTGATGCCCTGTGAGCACCCCCTGTTCTTTGCCGCCCTCCTGTGCCCTCTTCCGGCCACTCCACCCTTTAGCCCTGGCTTCCCTGGGGCCTGGGCGGGCCAAGCCAACCCACCTTGGGATGAGTCACAGGGGGGGCAGGCACAGCTGCCCGCTACCCGCCCTCCACCTCCTCCCCAGGGTGAGGTTGCTGCAGGTCTTCTGTGCTCCATGGGTAAACAAGGAGCCTGGGCATCTCTGCCTGTGGAAATGCCCCCACAGGGATCCTCTGGATCCCCTGCAGGGGCCCTGTTCACTGCCCTGTGTCAAGGGTAGGGGTCTGCCATGAGTTGAACACAGCAACAGAAGACGGTGTGTGTGTGCCTGTGTGTATGCGTGCACGCGCGTGTGCGTGCATGCGTGCCTGTGCGCAGTGGTGGCTAGGTGCACAGGATGTCTATCCTGACATCAAGCTCAGCATCCCAGAATTTTGCAGGGCAGGGGTCTAGAGATCCTCTGGCTCCACTTCAGATGGGGAAATGGAAGATAAATGAGGTGGAGGAACTCTCCCAGTGTGGATGGCAGAGCTCCGAAGACAGAGCTCACCAAAGCCCTCTGCCACTCTGCCCTGCCGCTCTCCTGCTGGGCTGGAGGGAGGGAGGGGTCTGGAGCCCTGTGGGAAACTGACAGGGCCCAGTCCAAACCTCCACATGCCTTCTTCCCTCACTGATGAGAACACGGGCCACTAAGGGCTGACAGGAGCCCCTGTGTGTGGGGGGGGCTGCAGCTTACCTGAAGGGTCGTAAATGGTCTACAGCCTCAGACCCCCAAACCCAGCACAGGAGGGAGGGCGCTACCGTGGTTTTCCGCATGGCAGCCCTTCCCCTTACTCTACTAACCGGCACCCGTCTAGGAAAGTGCCCCTGTGTAGTTCTGCCAGGGCCATCACTCAGACTTTGTATGTACAGGAGCCTGGCAAGGATGCCACCCCATCCCCTGAGCACAGTGACTGGGCCAAGCAGGGCACATGAATTAAGCAGGGTCAGTTGGCATCCATCCTTGTGATCATATGAGTGGATGAAGAGACAAAGCTATCTCTTTTTCTCTGGGCAGGAGGCCAGGTTGATGTCAGCCTGGAGCTGTCTGAGACCATGGCCTCTTCTTCCCCAAACATGGGAGAAGCCCATTTTGCAGTAGAAGAGAATGAGGATCACTTTTAGTGGGAGAGAGAGTCCTGAACCTTACTCTGAGTACTTGGATTCTATCAGATCTACCTCTGAATTTCCCAGCTTTATAAACCAATAAATCAATTCCTTAAGGTAGTTTTAAGCTGGGTTCTTGTCAGTTCTAACCAAGAAAATCTTGAATAATTAAACAAGAAACATAAAGCCCAAAGTCGATCTAGGAATGTCTGCCCACTATGGCTTGAGGTGACAGGTGCTGGACACCTAGCAGGGGCCATTTTCCTGGGCTTGGGACAGGTTGGGAGGAATGGGGGGAGCAGCTACCTCTACTGGGGCATGTGGGAGTCAGTAAAGGCCTCAGAGCAGATTATAAGTCATTTTCTATATTATACCAGGTGCCTATTATAAGCCAGGCACTGTGTTAGGCCCTAAGGTTAGAATGGCAGTTAGGCTAGCATAGCCCCACGGAGCTCAGGGTCTCCGTGTTTGCTAACTACTTTTACATTGTATAGAGGTCTCACTAACCATCCATTAGACTTGGGGTAGAATATTCAACCACTTTGAGCTTCAAAAGACACCATGGGCTTGTCAGGGCTCCAGATACAGTGTGGAATGTGGAATGGAGCAGCTCTCAGTAAACAGTAGCTCTTACTGGAACTCCTGGGAAGAAGGCACCATCCCTGCTCTCCCCACTCGTGGCTCATCGTTCCACGGTGGAGGTCACACTTGCACAAAAAGTTGAGCAACAGTGTGAGATTTGAAAAATGACCTAATAGAATTCAGGAAATACACAAGACCACAGCTGGCTGAGAAGTGGCCTGGGAGAGAGGCCTGAGTTGGGGGGGACGCTGTGGTGGGATGAAGGGGTCAGGGAGGATGGTAGCCTGGCAGAGATGGCATGAGAGGAGGAATATGAATGGACTGTAAGGGACTGACACAGGGCTGGAAAGATCGTTTGGGCCAATGGCGTGAGCTGGGTTATGGGACAAAGCCCTTGTTCTGTGGCACCATGGGGTAGGGGCATGGCATGGTGAAAGCACTTTAAGAGGCTACTGCTCTGGTTTAGGCGAATCAAGATGAAACTGCAACTGGGTTGCCTCTGAGGCAGGGTTGGAATGGGAGCTACAGGCATGAGAAAGATCCAGAAAGAAGACGGACCAGGACTAGGAGACTTGGAACTATAAGCTATAGTGGCAAGGGAGACGAGGAGCCTGAGAGGCTGGGAAAATAGGAGGATCCCTCACAACACGGGACAGACAGGGTCTGCAGCAGGTTTTTCTCGGAGGTTCTCAGGGCAGGGGACATTCCGCGTTCTCCTGATACTGCTGGGTTTAGGGAGCACCGGAGGGCTGTCTGGTGGAAGTACCGGCAGGTGAAGGCAGACACAGGATTTGATGGGCAGGGACAGGACGGGAAACAAACCCAAATGCCCAGGTAGCCAAGCGATATTATGCTCTGCGTGTGGGAAGAGGACAGAGATCTGTGTGGTTTGGAGTTACTTCCCAGGCTAGAGTGGAAGCGTGCGGCCTGAGGACAGGCAGCTCTGGCCAATTTCCAGTCAAGGGAAACCAGGCTGTCTGCATGCTGACACGGGAGCTGCATGGCGGAGGCGGGAAGCTAAAGGTGCCCTGAGTGCTGCGGGATCTTGAATTTGCATGTTTTAAAAATTTTTTAATGGTTATTTTTGAGAAAGAGACAGAGTATGAGTGGGAAGGGGGAGAGAGAGGGAGACACAGAATCCGAAGCAGGCTCTAGGCTCTGAGCTAAGAGCCCAACACTGGGCTTGAACTTACGAACCATGAGATCATGACCTGAGCTGAAGTTGGACTCTTAACCGATTGAGCCACTGAGGCGCCCGGACCTCGTATGGTTTTAAGGGAGAGGCCCACCTGTTGGAGGAGGCTCTGCAGTCCCTGAAAAGAGGCCGCCGGCAGGGGCCAACACACCCCAGTCTCCTGGCCATGGCCCCCCGCCGAGATGGGGGCCTGCACTAGGGTGCCCAGCAGAGCAACACTCAGTCAGCTCCCACACACCCGGGGCCTGCCTCTCCCCGGAGCCCTTCTCCTGGCAGCCCAGCCTCCCATAATTGCCTTCTAAAAATATCTTTCCCCCACCCCCACCTCTTGATTTCAAAATATTTAGTTTTCAGGATATTTAAAATGAGAGCTGGCGGCTCTTCCAGGCCCAGATAACAAAGCTAAACATTTATGCTTTGACTGCATTTCTCTGAATCGGCCCAGATCTTGGGAATTGATAGGGCAGCAGCAGAAGGGAGGGGAGTCAAGTGCAAGATTTATCATGTGCAGGCCTCCTGAGGGCTGGGGGGCAACTGGCCCGCCCCACCAAACACTCGTAGGACCCCTCCTCTTGTTGGGGGACCACCTACCGCTGTTGACGTGGAGCCGGCCCCGGACCGTGTCCTTCCCCAGGATGTTCTCAGCCTCGCAGACATACTCCCCGGCGTCCTCCACCTTCACCTTGTTGAACTGTAGTCGTGAGTTCTTTCTGGTTAGGGAGGGGATAAGGGGGGAGAGACGTGAGCCAAGGCCGTGGCGGGCTGTGGCTTCCCAGCGGTCACCCAGCGGTCACCTCTCCCCGAAGAGCCACAGCGGCTGTGCAGGGTGGGTGGGAAGTAGATTCTGAGCTCCAGGTAGAATGCTGAGTCCCCTGAGTTGGAGGGGGACCTAAGGGCTCAGGAGAACACAGGGTAGAGAGCTAGTGGCTGCGCATAGGTTCTAAATCTGTGAACCCTCATGTCTGCTTTTTTAGGGCCAGACCTTCTTTGTAACCTTTTCTGGGGGAGAAAAGTGGGGTCTCCTAAGGAAGTCACGTGGCTACCTTTCTCCTCTCCTTTTGGTGTCCCTCCTCCCAGTCCCAGTGTTTCCCTCAAAGCAGAGCAGCCAGTGGCTCACCGTTTACCGCAGCCTTCCCTTACAAGTGGCAGCCTGTCACTCTAGATATGGAAGACCTGTTCCCAGGCACCTGGGCAGGCCCCTGATCTAACAGGTTTCCATGGCAACTGTGCCCGGCCTCCAGGTCCCAACCCATGGCTCCCCCTGTCTTCACATTAGCCCTGCCACCAGGGGTGCTCTGGGGCCTCTCCCAGGGGCTTTAGCTTGCTTCATTCATTCATTCATTCATTCATTCATTCATTCGTCAGTTTAATAAAGCTTCTGTGTGCTTAAAGCTTGGATACATCAAGAGGACAAATCGATCCTAATCCTAGTGGCCTGACTTGTCCCTCATGGCTAACCTGAAAGTGGACAGGGCAATGCAGATGGGAAAACTGAGTCCTAGGAGGGGCTTTTGGACTTGTCCAAAGGCACCTGGCAAGGTGAAAAAAGAGGTGAGCGAAGAATGGGAATCAGTGGGGACACGGGCCCCTCAGTGGCTCATGGACTATTTCCCAGAGCCCAAGGCTGGGGCTAGCCCCCTCTGTGAAGGGCTTTGCACCCAGTCCCTGCATGCTGAGAGTTGTGGGGCCAGGCCTGGGCAGGGACTCCGTGCTGTGTGTGACTCCAGGGCACCGGGCCCTGGTTCTCCTCTTCCTTCTGAAGACCCTGCCAAACCTCTCCTTCCTTCCCAGGGCTTCTCTGCACCTGCCCCCGGGCGCCTGAGCTCTGCAGGGTCTGTTCATACCTCCCATCCCTCCCTCTGCCACAGTGCTCTTCAGGGGCCTGTCTGAGCTCTGGATAAAGCCTAGTACCCCAGCCTGGCCCCCAGGGGGAAACAAGAAGTAGCATGAAAATTTCTTTACATGATGTAACCTCCTCCCCTTTTTAGTCCCAAATTAAAACAGCAGATTCCCAGAATGTGTGTTGTGTGTTGGAGGGCTGGCGGAACAGGAGGTAGGGCAGTACAGCTGTCACTGCCCTAAGCCCAGGGATGAAAACCAGAGCATGAAAGCTCCTGAGGGAAGGACAGGGGAGCGAGGCCGGGCCACGGGTGGAGGTGGCAAACTGACCGTCATCCCCACTGGGGCTGTGCTCTGAGAACCCGTTTCCTGGCCTCACCTCTGCCTCCAGAGGGGGTCTGTTCTCAGACCTCCTCACTCTAAGATCCCCAGATGAGGGTCCATGAGGCTGACTGGTCAGCAGGCCCTGTTGCTGTGGTGATGTCCTCACCGATGTTGCGGCGACAGCTGCCTGGCTGCACCCCGCCCCCCCGCCCCCCCACCCCATCCCTCCAGCACTTCCCAGCTCAAGCCAGTCTCTGTCTCCTTGGCAGTGGTGTCTGCCTCCAATCCTCTTCTGTCAATTCAAGTTTGTTCTCTTCATTAAACAGAGCCCTGGAAGCCCCTCTGGCTAAAACAGCATCTCCTTCCTGGCTCCAGCCTAATTAGATACCACAAAGCCCAGCTGCCCCAGGACCAGGCTTCTCTCTCTTCTGGGCCACACTTCCCTGACACTGGGTGAGGAGAGCAGGTGACTACTCAAGGCTCACAGGGTTAAGGTGTAGAGGGCACAGAGCCAGAATCTCCCTCTCACCCACCGCTGAATTCAAAGGGGCTTCCCTGACACCACATCCCATGTCACAGGAAAGAAAGGTGGAGTTAGGTTCACAGATACCTGGTGAGATAAAAGCTGGAAATGGAAGGAAGGCCTTCCCGCATGAGGTATGTGAGACCTTCAGAAAGTAGGTCCAGGGCTCAGGGAGAGGCCCTCTCCTTGGAGGAACTGGAAAGAGGCAAGTGGACAGAAACAGTGATCCCTGGGTTTCCTGGCTGCAGATACCTTACTTTATCAGCTCTGTGAAGATCTCATCAGTTCCGGGGAGAGGGGCCCAGACTTTCATAAGAGACGCTGGGGTCAGAGCTAAAGGGTATGGGCTGTATGTATGGTTCTCTCAGCCTGGGAGGAGCAGGGGCCACTACATTCTCTTCTCGTTCCTAATTCTCTGAAGAAGCCCCGAGGAGTTAAGATTCTCCCCCACCTTCCTGGTAGGCCTGGTGCCCGCTCGCCACACTGACCCAGGCCTGCCCCTGCGATGGATGCCCCTCCCCTCCTTCCTCAGCCAGTTTTCTGCTGGCAGGGACAGGATCTGGGCAGCCGCACATTTTCCTCAGTGCCTACCTCCTGCTGCCTGCCTGAGGGGCCTGTTCCGGCTTGCCCCTCATAAATAAGGGAACACACAGCTTGGCAAGGGAGGGCCCTGCGCCCAGGGCTGGCGGGGGGGGCTTGTTTTCTTCTGGCACAGGAAGGCTTGGGTGAGACAACTCAGTGTGGCGGCCTCAGAGACAGGCAGCACCCACTGGGGAGGGGGCTGCTGTGGATCAACGGTCATTTCAAGAGCGAGTGTGGCCTGGCAGAAGGCATGCTGGGATGACCAAAGAGCAAGCTGTAGTGTGGGCAGAAGGAAAGAGAAGATTCTGCCAGAGAGGAGACTCCTGCTCCTGTCCCTGGCCCCTGTGCCAGGTGAAGTGTGTGTGTGGAAGTGGCAGTTCTCTATCACGGCTCACTGTCTTCACCCCATCAACTCACTGCTGGGAGCCCAGGCACAGGCTAGGTTGAGCGAGGAAGTTTTAGGAAGGCAGCAAATGGGACATGGCCCTAATAGAAAGAGGGCAGGAGGCACACCTCAGGCTCTTTAGGGGTCCCCAATACCCTGGACTGAAAGACCTGACCACACGCTGTTTCTGGACTGGGTAACCCATTTGTTAGATAAGGCTTGGGGTGCCTGGGTGACTCAGTTGTTAAGCATCTGACTTTGGCTCAGGTCATGGTCTCTCAGTTTGTGGGTTCGAGCCCCGCATCAGGCTGTACACTGACAGTGCAGAGCCTGCTTGAGATTCTCTCTCCCCCAATTTCTCTGCCCCTCCCCGACTCATGCACGCACACGCACGCACGCTCTTGCTCTCAAAATAAACTTAAAAGAAACTGAGGCTTGACCAGGACAGTAACTTGCTCAAAGTCTAGGTCAACCCAAAGGGTGTCTTGTCCAGTGCTAGTGTCACCCTGTACCCAGGAGAGGACATCTAGGCCTGCCAGGTTCTCGTCAATGCAACACTCAATGTGGATGTCCTCTGCCAGGCTGTACAGGGCAGAAGGGTATACATGGGTGGCATCTAGCCTCTGAGGCTCTCTCATGGTAGAGGGAAAGAGAGACCCCCCAAACCTCCCCACCCCCACCCCACCCCCACCAAAAAGAAATGAAACCGTGTCTAAGGCACCATGAGAAGAGACCATGAGAGCTGCCTGGAGGGTTCAGGAAGGTGTCCCAGAGGATATGACATTTAATCTGGACCTGGAGAACTTTGCCAGGGACTAGGTGGGGGGTGGGGAGCTGCCAGCATAGCCTGGGTCCAAGTCCAGGGTCATGAAAGGAAAGGCCAGGATCAGGAGCACTGAGGTGTTAGGGAACAGCATTGCAATGACTTAGAGGTAAGGAAGAGAGGAGCCGGAAGGGCCCTGAGGCCCCAGTTGAGGCTGGCATACAGCAGGCTCTCAAGGCCTATCAAGTAAATGAGTGATCGGATATGTGTCCATGTTAGAAAGATCATCCCCTGCCAGGGTCACAGGGGTCAGCGGATCTCTAGAACTGTAAGCAAAACTGGGTGGATAAGACACATTTTTTCCAGAGAAACGGTGGAGGCCTTTACCACATTCTGTATTGAAAGCTAGACTAGAGGCTCTATAAAGGTAGGGACCGTGTCCAGTTCAATCACCAGCGTACATCCAGCCTCTGGCAGAGTAGAGTGCCTGGCACAGAGCTGGTGTTCGATATGCACATGTTAGATGCAGAGATGAACTCACAAACAGGTCTGTGGCACAGGAAAGGTGGGGATGGCCGAGAGTGGGACCTCGGAGGACAAGAGGCCAGAGGCAGGAGAGCAGCTAAGAAACGTGCAGGGCACGGAGCAGGGTGTCTCCTGCTGGAGGGGGTATGGGGGCTGGTGCCAAGCAGCAGGCAGTCTACTTCTGCCACAGCTGCGAGGAGGGCACAAGAGGGCGAGCAGGGCCAGAGAGGGCAAGGGGGAGAGGCTACACTGGGGCATAGGATCAGAGCTGTCTGTAGGTAGCTCAGGGGTGGTAGTGTTTCACTGGCCACGTGGATCTGGAACTCAGTATAAAAAAAAGAGTCCTTACTGCGTTATCAGCTCAGAGGGTGAAATCACCCACAGGTGGAGAGGAGGGAAGCCCCTGAGACAGGAAGCTTCCAGCACTGATGGTGACTGAGAGAGTGGTCAGAGGCACGGAAGGACCAGGAGGGGGGGCCCGTGCCAGTGGGCACAGAGAGGCCTGGAGGCACGGGGCTTGGAGGCTCTGAGGTCGCCAGGTCTCTCGAGAGCCGCAGCCACAGGCAGAGTGGGGGTGTGTTTACAAGACAGACTCCAGGAGGGCAAAGAGTCATGGAGGACGACAGGGTGGAGTCAGTGGACATGAGACTGACTCTACATGATGGTGGAGAGGAGAAGCAGGATGGGCAACAGCTGGAGGAGGGAGAAGGGCAGCGATGTGGAGGGAAAGCTTTCAGAAGGGAGGTGATGTGAGAGTTGGCAGTAGGGAGAGGACGGTGGAAGCCATCACTCATGACCTCCAGATGCACCCTGGAGTCAGTCTTTCACCAAAGATGGCCAGATGTGGGCTTTTGGATGTGTGGAAGATGCTTTGAGAAGTGTTAACCTCCACATGCAGAGCTGAATTTAATCATCCAATTACTTTCAAGCATCCAGAGACCTTCATTAAGCATCTACAGTCTGCACAACACTGGGCCAACATAACCCAGAGCTGCAAGGAGCGAGTGGGTGTGGCCAGGAAGAGGGACCAGAAGCGTCCCTCCTTTTCAGGGAGGAGGAAGGGCAGCCCGGTGGACAGAGTCTTTTTTCTCACCTGCCGTTGCCGTACTTGATGCGAATGTCCCGGCTGCGGTTGAGCTCCTTGCCGTCCTTGAACCAACGATAGGAGGGCTGAGGGTTGCCCGCTGCTGCCTCACACTTCAGTGATTGCTTCTCACCCACCTGTCCCGTCTGGCTCTTCATCTTCTTCAGCTTGGGCCGGGTGGCTGTGGGGCACAAGGCAGGGAGGTGAGCATGGTGGCAGAGGGGGTAGGGAAGTGCCACTGTCCTGAGGAGGTAGCCATCCCTCCTGGCGTCATTTGCCAGTTCAATTCAATAAGCATTCACAGAGGGCCTGCCATGATGTCAATGTGGCTACTGCCTGTGGGCTTTCATTCCTTCATACCTGGAACGGTACTAGGAGTTATATATACATTAGCTTAGGGAAATAACCCCATGAACTCAGTGCAGTAATTAAACCCCTTCATGGATGGGGAAAACTGAGGCTCCGAATGGTGAAGTCACTTCCTCAGGGTGAACCGGGATTCGAACCCAGGTTCCCTTGATTTCAGTGCGCAGGCTCTAACTGGTGTCCGGGACCCCAGGGCCTAGGCTGGGCCTAGAGGACATAGGCGGACCAAGATGACAGACACAGCTCCTGCCCTCAGGAAGTTCAGACTGGCAGGAGAGCTGTAATCTGGCATTAATGTCATAGCATGGTTCACGGAGGCCTGAAGTTACTAAAACTGATAGGAGGGACCCCAGTCCAGGCTGGGGGAAGAGCTAACTTAGCTAAGGGCTGAGGAATGCTAAGGGGCCAGAGGGGGTAGGATAGGAGGTGGACCAGACAGAGTGAGCACTGTGGCTTAGGAGAACCACATGCGGTCCGAAGGGTGGGCTAACTTGAATGGGTCAAGTGGAGTAGCTCTCTGGGTGACAAAGCTTGGAGCTACACAGGGGGGCACAGGCCCACCTGGCGCTGCAGGCCTGCACATGTCAAGCTCCCATTTTTCTTGCACATAATTCTATTTCCACATGCCTACTTTCCCATGCTTCATCTCCTTGTTCCCCTCCCCCTCACCAGCCAACAACAGCCAAAAAAAAAAAAAAGGAAAAAGTACTGTGTTCTCAGGAAGGTAAGGGCAAGCCCATGCTCCCTGCTGCGGTTTGTAATAATTTCCATCAGGACAGCCCTTATAGGTTACACAATGCCCTCATGCATGCTCTCGTTTGGTCCCTGAGCTTGGTAAGGCAAGTGTCCTTGCTGACAGTGAAGATGAGACTCAGGGAGGTTAAGAAACTTGACCAAGGTCACACAGCCAGGCAGCTACAGAACTGGCACCGGAGCCCATGTGTCTGGGTTTGCAACCGGTCAGGCTTGTAGCAGCGTGGCGTCTGCTTTGCAGCCTGTGTCTCTTTTGGGGGAAGGAGGACCTCATTGAAATCCTTCCACAGCAGAAGCGATGGTCTGCTGGGACTAGGGAGTTGTCAGGGGATAGAGGGGTCTAGGCTGGCTCTGGATGAAGGTGGCCAAGGGGGCCTGGCTATAGAGGGTGGTTCTCCCCTTGAGCCTATCCCTGAGCTGCTGCTTGGAGGCGGGGTAGATGCGAGTAGGGAGAGAAGAGTGAGAAAGGACTCCTGAAGCCTCAAATACTATATGACATGGACTCAAAAAAAATAGTGCTTGTGAAATGATTTTGTTCATCCTGGAAAATTTGACGATATAGATGGATAAAAGAAGCAAACAATTATTTGTCATCCTGGTCCTCAGAAGTAAAATATACCTACATACACACGCATTGTAAATAAATGGGATCTGCATCAGTAACACGATTCTTTTATTTAATAAAACAAATGTAAGCTTTTCAGCTTGGCATTAATTATTTTTTAATACTTTGTCTATTTAAATTTTTTTTCATGTTTATTTATTTATTCTGAGAAAGATCGAGTACACGCAGGGGAGGGGGAGAGGCGCCGTGCTGTCAGTGCAGAGCTGGAGGCGAGTCTCAGTCTCCGGGTCTGTGAGGTCATGACCTGAGCCAAACTCAAGAGTGAGACGCTTAACCAACTGAGCCATCCAGGCGCCCCTGTTTGTTTATTTATTTTAAGTAGGCTCCACACCCAACGTGGGGCTTGAACTCACCATCTTGAGATCAACAGCTCCATGCTCCAACTGAGCCAGCCAGGCGCCCATTGGCATTAATTATTAATAATAACATTTTCCAAACTGAATTCTATAGGACATGAATATCCAGAGAGATGATAATAGGTATTACTTAAGAAAAGGGTTCCATGATCAAACATGTTTGGGGAACAAGTGGGTAAACACGGTTAAAGAAGTATCATTAACTTCGGTATGATTCTCCAACTAAGGGTCTTAGAATTCTTTTTCTCAGAACCCTTAGTAGCATTTCAAAGAAATAAAGTTATTCAGAATAGCTCTAAACATAACTTATATGTATATATTTTAATAGATATATTCATATTTTAACAAAATCTTCACATAATTCAAGAAGTGTAAAAGGGTCTATGGTTTAAAAAACAAGTCTCCCTCTGGGGCACCTGGGTGACTCAGTTGGATAAGCATCTGACTCTTGGTTTTGGCTCAAGTCGTGATCTCCTGGTTCATGGATTTGAGCCTCATATCAAGCTCTGCACTGGCAGTGTGGAGACTGCGTGGGATTCTCTCCTTCCTCTTTCTCTCTGTCTCTTCTCTGCTCATTCTCTCTCTCTCTCTCAAAATAAAGAAATAAACATTTAAAAAGAAGAATTCTTTCTCCCTCTGCCACTCTTCCCACCTCACATTCTCTCTCTCTCAAATAAAAACGAAATAAAACAAAACAAAAAAACAAGTCGCCCTCTAACTTCTGAGCACAGCCACACAGCTGTCTTTCTTTGCAGGAGGCAAACAATTAAAAAAAATTTTTTTTAATGTTTTATTTATTTCTGAGAGAGAGAGAGCGAGCGAGCGAGCGAGCAGGGGAGGGTCAGAGAGAGAGGAAGATACAGAATTTGAAACAGGCTCCAGGCTCTGAGCTACCTGTCAGCACAGAGCCTAACGCGGGGCTCGAACCCATGAACCCCATGAACCTGAGCCGAAGTCAGACGCTTAACCTACTGAGCCACCCTGGCGCCCCAGGAGGCAACCAATTTTATCAGTTCTATTTATATCATTTCAGAGACGTTTTATGCATTTTATACAAACCCTAGTATTTACACACATTTTCTCATTTTTCATGATTGCATACTATTCCTGTATAGGTGTATCATCATTTCTACAACTAAATCCTATCCTGGGGTATGCAGCATGTTTCCTCTCCTCCGCACCACTCTCCCATTATAAGCAGGACCAGAGGAACATCCTCACTCAGTGTGTATATCCAGTGTGTCCATCCATGCATGCAGTGCTCATCCTTTGCACACACCCAGCGCATACTGCTGGATACGCAGGGTGGCTCCTGACTCAGACCTTTGCTATTTCCTAGCTCTGTGTCCTTAGGTCATTGGCCTAATCCTTTTGTACCTCAGTTTCCTAATTCGTGAAATACGGGTGATAATAACAGCTCCTACCTCAGGGGATGATAGCTGTAAGGATCATATGAGACAATGCATGTAAAGCCTGGCTTGCACAGAACAGGGAACAAAGGTTAGCTATTATTGTTTCTTTCTTACTATCCACATAATTTCCTAAGGCAATCTTCTTAAAAGTGGAATTGCTGCATCAAAAGGGTATGCGATCTTCCTCATCCTTAAACGTTGCCAAATTGCCTTCTGGAAAGGTTGCACCAATTTGCACTCCCACCAGTGAATGACAGTGCCTGTTTTTTCCACACCCTCAGTAACATGAGGTATTATCATCTATTTAATCTTCGCCAATTAGCTAGGCAAAAGATAACGTCTCTTTGTTGTTTTACTTTGCATATATTTGATTCCTAGTGAGGCTGACCACTTTTCATAAATGTATTGGCTCATTGTATTTCTTCTTTTCAAATTGCCTGTTCATGTCTGTACTCTGTTTTTCTAATGGGTGCTCTTCTTCTTTTTGATCTGTAAGAGTTTTATATAAATAGTAAGGCTATTAACCTTTAGCTATATAATTTTTTTCCCAATTACTGCTACTTACATTTTTAAATGCTGGGTTTGTTTGCTTGTTTGTTTGTTTGTGACACCCAGAGGTTTTATGTGTATCAACCCATCAGTCTCTTGGACTTTCTGGAACATTCATTATTCTGAGTAAGATAGAAGTCCTGCCTCAGCATCATTGCCCCTTACCTACACCACACGCTCCTTCATCAGCTTGCTCTGGGGTCCCTCGTCCCTCCTTATCAAGAGTTCTTAATCTTAGATGCTACTGAGAACCACACAGGAAGCTTCAAAAATTATGTAGGTGCTTGGAACATACCCTAGATATTCTGAATGTATTTATTTTTTCCCTAATATTTATTTATTTTGGGAGAGAGTAGGGGAGGGGCAAAAAGAGAGGGAGAGAGAGTCCTAAGCAGGCTCTGTCAGTGCTGAGCCTGATGCAGGGCTCAAACTCATGAACCATGAGATCATGACCTGAGCCAAAATCAAGAGTCAGCTGCTTAACCGACTGAGCCACCCAGGCACCCCTGAATATATATATTTAAAAATATATACAACATAAAGGAAAGTGCACATCTTGTAAGTATATAGCACAATGACTGGAGCCAAACTAAAAACATCTTCACAGGTGGCTTTCCTTTAAAGTTAGGTTGACACCGAGTGATCTAACCATCTCTTGGTTACTTGGTGACCTCCAACTAGCCTCTTCCTTCTCGTGCACTGGGGATGCAGAGAGCTCTTCTCAAGTTCCATGGTGCCTCCCTCCAACACTGTTGGTGGGAATGTAAACTGGTGCAGCCCCTCTGGAAAACAGTGTGGAGGTTCCTCAAAGAATTAACAGTAGAACTCCCCTATGACCCAGCAAAAGCACCACTAGGAATTTACCCAAGGGATACAGGAGTGCTGATGCATAGGGGCACATGGACCCCAATGTTCACAGCAGCACTCTCAACAATAGCCAAAACATGGAAAGAGCCTAAGTGTCCATCCACGGAAGAATGGATCAAGAAGATGTGGTTTATCTATACAATGGAATACTACATGGCAATGAGAAAGAATGAAATCTGGCCATGTGTAGCAACATGGATGCACCTTGAGGGTGTTATGCTGAGCGAAATAAGTCAGGCAGAGAAGGACACAT